TAACGATAACTCAATTGAAATCAATCTATGACGAATATGATTTGTTAAAGCTAAACTTAATTTAAACAATACCGCCTTGAATAAACTCTCTATATATACAAACATGCTAAATTAGACACCATGTAATGAGCACATGAATTTTAAACATAAGTCTATTGTTTAAATTTTTATTTATGTAAAAAGAATACCGACATATAAAATGATATGCTTTAGTTAACTTAGTCTCATTCTTCTCCTAGTGATAACATATTTCCCTAGTTATTACAATTATTATTATTATTATTAGTAGTAGTAGTAGTAGTAGCAGTAGTAGTAATACTATGGTTATCGTCATATAGTTTTAAACAAGCGGAAAATAGTCATTTTTCTTTTTTTTTAAAAAAAAAAGAATAAAACGTCTACAGGGGAATATATACAAAGACAATTTATTTATATAAATGTATCTTTAAAGAGATATAACTAACTTATACAATTTATAGACGTAGTTTTTATCTCCTGCCGGTATTTCATTGTATGCATGTGTGTGTGTGTGCGAGAGAGAGAGAAAGGGAGACAGAAGAATACTTGGCATGTACTTCTCTAAATTCATTTATACATGTATATGTGTATGCATACATGTACTCACATACATACATTCATTTATATATACATACATACTACATACATAGTAACACACAATCAAAAATAGTGTCTTGGATCATGATGGGATAATTAGATAGATAAATAGATGGTTAGTTAATCACTTAAACAAAAGAACTAATTACATTAGATCTATGTATGTATATAAATCATCATGTATTCTTCAGGTTTTTCTTTAATGTTTTTCACTTTTTTTTCTCTTTTCTATTTTTGTGTTTTTCAATAGATATACTCTTACCTTTCTTTTTCTTTTTTTTTCGGCAATAATCAGTGAATAGTAACTTTCCCGTTTTATGTTTATTCCGACGTAATATATTTAGATACCTAGTTTTTAAAAAAAGAAAAATGGAGTAAAAAAAAGATTAGAAAATTAGATTATTTATAAAGTGAGATTATCTTTAATTGATAATAATGTAATGGTCTAGCTTCAATGGACTCATGATTTCAACTATATAAAATTATTAAAATCTTCACAAAACCTACCTTCTAATAATGATCATATACTTACTAGTGACTGGCTCCATGAAGTATTACCTGGAGTTATAGTGAGAAGTAATGACCAGTGAAGTTCAACCAGGTCTGTTGGGAGATATCAAATCACTGAAGACATAGATGAATGGTTGCTCAATTTAGTGGATTGGTTGAAGTTAGACATTAACATTGTTAAATACCAGCTCAGTGGTATAGAAGTTAAGCGCTCGCGCGAGATACTGATAGGTCCTGGGTTGGAATCTTGCGAGGCGGGATCATGGATGAGCACTGCTTAGGAGTCCCACGATAAGAAGAAACGGCCTTCCAATGCTTCCAGGTTTTCCATGGTGATCTAGCTTCAATTGACTCATGATCTTTACTCTATAATATTACTAAAATCTCCACCAAACCCCTTTCTGATAATAATGTAATTCACTTAAAAATATATTAGTACTGTACATAATTATGTATGTGTAAATCATTGAAAAGTGGAATGCATATATATCACACTTATAAATGATTTAAATGTCAAGATGAAAATGATCTCATGATATATTAATTTATTATGAATTGTAATGGTTTAAATTATTCCGTTGTTGATATTTTCAACTGAACTTTGGTCTGTCCTAGTTGGGTTTCATCAATATTGCTATTAGGACACAGTGTTATATGTAATAAAAGCTATTTGTAAAATACGGAATGTGGGTTTTGTCTTATGTGGAATTGATTAGCTGGATTTTCATATCAATTATACGGATGAACGGCCTTCAAATGCCCTGATATGGCCGAGAGTTGGGATTGTCCGCTCTTCCTCTCGAAATGCTCTCACATGGCCACGAGTATTTAGCCTCTGCCACGAAAGTCCTATCCACTGCCTTCTCTTGGCAAGGATGTTGTTTACGAAGTTGAAAGGACAAAAAGCGAATGTCCGGCGATTTAACCGAGTCGATGGATATGGAAAGTCCACCTAGGGGAGTTGGAAAACCCTGATTCCAAACCGGTGGTTTATATGAACTCCAGTATCTAGAGGGGACAAATGGCGTATGAACCAATTGTTAGTCACTGGCTACCATGAGACTGCATCTCCTAACGATGCTCCACTGCCTTATGGATCAGATCTTCAGGTCAAAGGCTCCGGGTGTGTCCCCCTAAGAAAACCACTTGCTTCAGTTTGGACACCCGGGCAGTATCACAGCTCTCACACAAATCAAATGAGATTTGTGTGGCGCATATATATCTGGTGCCCCTTTGTACCAATATTTATTAAATAAATAAATAAAATCCGGACTTAGTAACTAAATGGATAACCTGTTAGCGTCTGAAGCAAAAGGTACTGGGTTTAAGTCTTGGAGTGACCATCAACTCCGTGATACAGGTCTGTCTAACTGGCGAGTTCCGAATGAGATGAAACTGGATCCGATTGAATATCACAATCAATCTATTCTATATAATCATTTATTTACTTTTAAATACGATATATTACATCATATTAAGTCAGATGCAATGCTCAGTCTGATCACAGAATAATTTAACTAGTTAAAAGTAGTCAACTATTTCATTTATCTTGAAATTGTTCATAACTTTGACCATTCGATGATCATACTTAGTTTGCGATACTAAGTAAAACTATCTCCAATAAAATCGCCACTAGTTGATATTAAGTAACTTCTTTCTTTCAAATATTTAGTTAGCTTATCTGATAGATATTATCCATTGCATGTCATATAATAAATGATGTCACCAATACTTCATCTTCTAATAACAATTACAATTTAGTTCAATAACATGGCTATAAACTAGTCTTGTCTAAGAAAATTGATTAATTTCATTCTATCTTACAATTTTCTTGTATCTACCGATGTATGACAAAAAAATTTTTCATCTAAACGCATCAATACACTACTTGATCAGTGTTTCTTTTTTTTTTAAAAAAAAAATTAGACAATAAGATCAAGTGGATAGGAAACCAATTGCGGAATTATTTTTTTTCATTTTTTTTTCCTATTTTTTTCCGAACATAAATTAATTTTGAATTTGTTAATTTTCCTTGTTTATTTGTATCTATGTGTGTTTCTATGTGGTTTGCTGTGAGCATGCCAAAAAATGAATAAGCAACATGCTCATTTGAATTAATTCTTTTTTTAAATAAAAAAAAGAGAAAACAGTAAATTAAAATATTAATATCTAGACAGTAAGTAAGTAAGTAAGTGAGTAGGTAAGCGGATAAGTGACTATAGTTACTCAGGTGGGTGGTATATACAAATGTTTAAAAAAAAATCATACATCCAGTCTGTTCACACTTTTGACATTGTTCAATGTTCAATATGCAATAGTCTATATATATATATAATGACAATTACAAGTCATAACAACAGCCACAACGTAAACCTTAAACAGTAAGATACTTAATATATTTTATTTAATTATAAAAAAGACCCCCTATTAATTTATAACAAGAATTAGAAAGAAAATTAATTGATAGGGAGAAAAAGAGAAACAGAAAGTGAGTTTGAAACAGAGAGAGAGAGAGTTGTATTGAAAGAAAACGGCATATATATGGCTGAATTTAAAATTCAACACCATTCTACACACTTTCCCAATGTCACTACTGATTCTCGATTGATAATTTAAATGTTTATTACGTTCAGAAACAAGTGAACGAAGTGAACAGTTAGGTGAATAAAGAGAGTGAGAGAGGGAAGGAGAGAGAGAGAGAGACAGAGCAAAGACTATACAAGTAAGGTATATGATTAAGTAACTACGCATATATCTACAGAAGTACATATATCAATATCGTAAAACTAAACAATATAATGATATCTCATATTTTGAGTTCAACTTATTCATTATTTATTCGGTTTTTCGGTTTTCATTCTATTTTTATTTTTTGGTTTGTCTTGAAACAAATTCTATTGAATTGGCAAAAGAGTAACTAGTTACCTTCTGTGAAAAACAGACTACTGACAAATTATTCAAGCTTCATTTTGTCAAGGGTGAACCACCGTTAAATACTCATTATTAGTTTGGGATTTTTAGATTATTTGTTAACGTTATTAATTTGGAAGGGGGTTTTGTGGAGATTTTAGTGATTTTATATAGTTGAAATCATGAGTCAATTGAAGCTAGACCACCATCGAAAACCTGAAAGCATTGGACGGCTGTTTCGTCCTATTAAAGGATTCCTCAGCAGTGCTCATCCACGATCCCGCTTCGCGAGATTCAAACCAAGGACCTATCAGTTTCGCGGGCAAGCGCCTAACTACTAGACCACTGAGCCGGACGGCATCCAACGGTGTTAATGTCTAACTTCAACCAATCCATGAAATTGAGCAGCCATTCATCATTATCTTCAGTGAGTTGATATCTCACAACAGACGTGGTTGAACTCCTAGGTTTGAATCTCGCAAGGCGGGTTCGTGGATGTGCACTGCTGAGGAGCCCCGTGATAGGACGAAACAGCCGTCCAGTGCTTCCAGGTTTTTCATGGTGGTCTAGCTTCAATTAACTCATGCTTTCAACTATCCAAATACTAAGTCTCCACGAAATGAAGAAGTATCAGACAATCTCTTTTGGTTCTCACATCGGATCGAAACTACGTATTCATAGATCGAAGACATCAGGACTAGATCAGGCTGACAGTGTATTTGGCTATAAACCAACGGTTTTAGTAGTGGATATTCACGACTTCAATCAATTCATAGTTAATAATATAGCACGTTGATTATCTATTATCAATTGTGTGTAACAGTTGGTATCGATTTCATAAAAACCTCTCTCTTTTTCACATACTAACGTTTTCAGTCAATAATGTTACATAACCTTTTTAAATGTTCTCAGCTACTAACCTTTCTACTAACCCTATTTTCTTTTAAAAAACTTTTGTTTCATAGATGTTGGCAATTTACGAATTCAAAACCTAGTTGAAGAAGATGAAGGAAAATATGAATGTGAAGCGAAAAATGACAAAGGCACACGTCTATCATCTGGTGACAATCTACTTGTTCGTGGTAAGTTCATGCAAGTATCTACATTAAGTGAAATATATTACTCCTCTACACATTTGAAATAGAACAGGTGGTATTAGTCTGGGAATAGAATCCAGGATACATGTTTCGTTCTATTTGAGATTTGTCTGCTTGATGCACGTCATTGTTTTATTCAATAATTCATTATTAACTGATTGGATGTATGTCTGAGATACATTATTGTCTAAAACTGTAACCCTAATAATGATCAATATGGTACATGTCACTCTTGAAGTAATGAAGCTTTAGAGAATTCCATACCTAAGCAAACAATATTGTTTTTGTAAGTTGCACCACAGATTGGTCTTCGATAACTAATAAAAACCTGGAAACAATAGTCAACTGTTTCGTCCTAGCATAGGATCCCTCGAAAGTACATATCTAAGACTCCAACGTGAAAATGACCGTAGACCTTCAGATTAGCCCTTAGCCTTTAGACTATTGAATAACTATCTAGTTCTCCCCTTTGCAAACCTCAATATATTTGTTGGGACGGCTTTCGAAAACTACGATGGAGCCTCCAAAGACCGTAAAGGAGCCATTCAATCAAAATATGATGGAAGGTTCTAGAATATCAACGTGGTATGCCACTATTTGCCAGTAGCATGATATGCCTCTTTGTGGATTGGCTGAATTATAATGTTGATATAACAAACGCTAATATCTATAAATACCGATGATTTTCTGTACATTTTGATTCTTACCTATCAAACACTTCTTCAGCCTTCTTCTATCTTCTGAGTTGCGACTAAGGGGTTCTATACGCTTGAATGTCGTAGTTGTAAACCGCATCCTGCGCTAATCAAGTAGCAAACAATATTCTATATATTTCACAACCAGCTTTTAACATTAGTTGGTAGCACCCTTTCAGACGACATGGTTGAATTGAACTTGTCACGGCTTCTCATTAGAACCTTGGTAAATACCTGCCAAAATTTTTAACAAGTAGGGAGATGGTTATTATTGATATAAAGTGTTTCTGATGATACTGAATGGATAGTCAACTTCTCTCTAAGAGAAGCCTAGAGGTCCTCAGTTTGTTTCATGTTAAAATCTTAGATGCATACTGTCGAGATGTCATGCAATAGGATGAAACAACTAACCAATGCTACCTGGTTTTGAATGATTGCCTAGAAAACTCCCGCTCACGATATAAACGATGTGTTCTTTGATTAAATGTGTTGTTTTAAACCATGCAATATGAATTTTTGACATTATGGGTACATATTTAATGTACTTCAATGTTATATAAGAACTCTCGTCTAAATTAGAACGAATAGTTTCACAGTATTTGAGCGCCGAGTTGAAGTAAGACATTAAATAGGAATAATATATTTGTAAAATCTCAGCGAATGAATTTTTTAAATTAAATCCAACGTTTCGCCTGGCAATCTGGTCCAAGCTTTTTCAAGGAATTATAATTAAACGTTGATTGGATGACCTATTCAGTGTATAATGAATTCGGAGAACCATGTACCTATTTATATTTGATAATTTTGATGTTTGATTATAATTCCTTGAAAAAGCTTGGACCAGATTGCCAGGCGAAACGTTGGATTTAATTTAAAAAATTCATTCGCTGAGATTTTACAAATATATTATTCCTATTTAATGTCTTACTTCAATGTTAGTTTGATTAAAAGATTTTGTGTTACTTTGATAATATCATCATCTGGTATTCATCATACTCTTGTTGTTGTAGAATTTTGTTTTATTACATAGAATGTCTAAATATGTTTGATAATGATTGAAATTTAAAAAAAAAAGATTTCAAAGTTATTTTTATCATGACAATCATCCATCAAACTGACTTCAAATTGTTGATGCGCACTGCTGAGGAGTCCCACCATAAGACGAAACGGCTGTTCATTGATTCCGGGTTTTCCTTGGTGGTCTAGCTTCAATTAACTCATGCTTTCAACTATGAAAATACTAAGTCTCCACAAAAAGATGATTTAAAATTTTTAATGAAATTCACATTCAATCAAAAAAGCCTAATGAGATAGAGATAATTTATTAGTCAATGAAAACGATGATAATCATATTTATCATACCATTAAAAATGACATTATATTCATTGATATGATTATAACTAATCATATCTTATTATCAAGATGTTAAACAGTTAATTAACTACTGACGAAGTTCCATTAGATTCCGTTCCGAAGATGGTACTGATAATTCTGTATGGAAAGGTATTTAATCTTTATGAAAGAGAATTATCCTGCTCAGAGGATTCAACACCATAGATAGGACTTAGAAATTATAACATAGATTGGATTGCAGCTAGAAGATTATTTAATTGAACTTTATTTAAGTAATTTGCATAACAACCAAAAATATTGGCTTGTCCTATTTATTAGAAAGGCACATTCGTAGTAGTCTTTACGTTAGTCCTAGGCGATCCTTGATAAAGAATGCTGGTGGGAGGCCTATGCTCCTCTACGAGAGGTAATAGGCGTAAGTTGGAAAGTAAGAAAATACTAGTGATTCTTGAGTCATCATTCCGGCTCTATGATTCGAAAGCTTTATTAAGTGTAGTATCCTGGAGATTACCTTCAGTCGACTATCATGACCTATATGCATGTATGTATATCCCTTTATATCTGTACTATTTACATTAGTTCATAGTTGCATAAACTGCATTACATTAAAGATTCAAATCTCTTGATAATATTGGATTGGGACAAGAATGACGTAATAGGTGAACTAATATGGATTAATCACTTTATTTTAAAGCTTTACATTAATTACAAAAAAATAATCCAATCACATGAACACATAAGATTGACATATATTTCAATCTTATTGAAATTAAGACAAAAGTTTCGAACAAGATAGACATGTCAATAGAAAAAAGATAAGATATAAGAACTGTAAAGGTAGCTAAGACTAATGAAAACATGCAGATAGTTCGGATCCATCAACTAGAGGAGATGATATCAAAAATAATATTACTTATCATCACTTAGTTTGTAAATTCTCTTTAAATTATTGTTGTATTATTATTGCATTACTTAAGTAGGAAAATACAGTATAACAGATTCTGAGAGTTGTATACTGTATGGTTTTGAACGTTGTATTTAACAAACTTCTTATTATTAACTAAACAATCTCCTGATAATCGAACCATTCAAATATGTGGTTTAGATTTTGATTTAATGACTGCTGAGTTATTGATTTAAAATTGCGTCATATCCATTAACGAAATCCAGTACTTCTGGTTTTACTTGTTTGAGGCTTACCAGCTAGATGTACCCGTACTCCAGTTTTGATTTTAGACGCGGACTCAGTACCTTTCCCTTTATATGTTATATATGTAACGAATGTCCAACCGCGGGCTACTTTGACGGACAATGATAGTTAATCTGGAATTACACTAGGGGCGGTAAAATCAAAGCATGGCGTCGGTCTATGAAGTCAGTGACCATTGAACCGAACTGTATTAATAGGTGACATTCAAAGAGGAGGGTATTAGGTTCGAGTTCCAAACCAACTTGTCTATCTAACAAGTACGTAGTAGGGTTTCACCGCAAGGTACAATCCAAATATATATTACATAAATGTTGACACAATAAAACTTTTGAGACAATCCACATAGGATGCAAATATACCACTAAAAAGTGATCGAAATTCAATCAAAAAATATTAACAATGAGATGATACAAAACCTTGGACATATTGACATTATTTTATATATATAGTTGAAATCATGAGTCAATTGAAGCTAGATCACTATGAAAAACCTGGAAGCACTGAACGGCCGTTTCGTCCTATGGTGGGACTCATCAGAAGTGCTCATCCAAGATCCCGCCTCGCGACATTAGTTTATGGCATTGGAAATAGATCCATTGACAACAAATGAATAATATTACTAGCCTGGATACAATAATATAATATGAGTTTTGGAACTAGATACCTTTAACTGTCTGTATTTTATAAGTTACATTTATTGGACAAACGATAGATTTAGTCTCCTAGGTCAGATATTTCTTTACATTTTTTGTAGTTTAAAATGTACTTTGACGTAATATGTGTATATTACATAATGTACTCATGTGATCCTTAATTGTAATCTTTATAGTTAACTACAAATCCAGTTACTGTACAGTACAGTCGAAACTATCAGACCGTTTGTTTGGACATACTACATTTTGTATACCATTTGATATAAGAAGTGACGATTGTAATTATATAAATGCATTAAATATGTATAATGTTATGTAAAAAGAAATCATAAGAGTAAAGATTATTTTTGAAAAAAAGCCTTATTTAAAGGATGATCAATGGTAGATAATCACCATTGACAACTATATGCTAAACATCTTTTGTCTACATTTACAAATAAAACTAGAGAGCCCATTGAAATATTGAACATTTTTCTTGTATTGAATATTCATTACTGTAGCTAAACATTAAATAGATTTATATAATGGAACAGTTTAATGGGTTTACTGTTTTTATGAGGTAACAAGAAGCCCTTGGGTATAGGCTGTGACTTTGACAGACGCGTACGTTGGGTGTATGGTACAGATTTGAGAAAAGGCACTGTAGACCCATGCCTTAGACTCATTTTACACAAAAAATAACTGAAAGACAGGGTAACAGGGTGAACAGATATAAATCATTAACAATACTTAAGCGTGTGAAGTTGGACAAACAAAGGTATGTTTAACCACTTGACAAAGTTCATATTAGTTCCTATCACTATAATGGACTGACTTTAAAAAATCTGCCGACTAAGCATGCAAACAAGGAGCAAAGAGTTGTGGGTTGCAACCAGGTTGAATGGTTCAAAATAGAGGAGAAAAAGCTGAAGCAAGGAGTGGAAAGACCATTTGTTAGGCTCGAGAACATAACATCGGAACGTTGAATGTGTGTAAATGTTAATAATTTCATCGCTTCAGCATTTTTTACATCCTGTTTAAAAGTTCTTTTTTATGAAAATCCAACCTCTTAGTGATCGAGTATGAGCGTTGATTAGCCTGTCGGAAGTTATTTAGGTACATTATCGAACCTAACATGAAGTTGAAAAAGTGGATCCAAAAAGCACCAAACATAAGCCGAAGCTTGAATTTCATTAAATAGTTGCCTTATTTGCTATCATGAAACCCCTAGACAAGAATGTGTTTTACCCCAAAACCATCACCCTTACAATCAATGTTCGCTGAGCATAAATTCACCCAATCTCCTTTTGTGATGCTAGGCTCTTACAAAGTGATTGTTAGGTCAGAAAGAGTGTCTTACTCGAAGCTCCATATTCTATATCCTCGTTAAAAAAAAGTTATTTCTGTGAATACTACACTGGAAGAGTATCAGACAGTTACAACTTGTAGGTTGTATGTTAGACGTCGATGCAGTACCGCAAATTACATTAGGAAGAAGTATGAGGTTCTACATAAATCGTTAGTAACTACAAAGGTATAGAGATAAACATACATTTCTCAAAGCATGTTGGTCAGTGCAGGGTTAAAGAATTGGTTAGTAAAGAAGTAGATAATCACCATTGACAACTATATGCTACCCATTTTTGTCTATATTCACAAGTAAAAGCAGAGCATCGATTGAAACATTGGACATTTTTCTTGTATTGAATATTTATTACTGTAGCTAAGCATATGACTTACATTAAAATAATTATTCTAACAGTTAGTTAGTGGAACAAACAGACAAACATAGATTATCTTAAAATAGATGGTATGTAGTTAGCAATGGAATCTAGGACAGATGTTTCATCCAATTCAGGATTCACTAGCTGGATGTAACTGAATTCCAGAACTGATATCTAGTCCGGATCTCAAGCCCAGTTATGTTTTCTTTATACTCCATCACATTGTCCTTTTAGCTACAACTATATGACTCTAAAATAAACCAAGTTTTACACCTGTTACACAAGTGAGTAGCTATCAGGACTCAGTAACCAAATGGATAAAACGTTAGTGTTTAAATAGTACAGCACTGGGTTTGGATAGCAAAATGAACATCAACTCTGAGATTTAACAAGAAACGTTCAACTGATAAGTGCAAAGTAGGAAAAAAACTCGCATCCTGGATTATACTATTAGTCACATTTCACCTATTCCATATCAACTAGTATCATAATGACTATACTGAAGCAATCCGATTAAGATGCATATATGCCAATCAAGACTAAGCAAATTTCATTTAAAATATCAACAATCAGATAACCCAAATCATTTCAAGTTGAATATATATATATATATTACTAATTAGTAAGATCTTAATGAAAATTTACAATGACCATTTGTTTTCTCATGATTTTTAATTAAACATTTCTTATTTTTTCTCAAACATAGAAAACGTTGAAGCTAGTCTACAAATGCTGGCACCAAGTAGTATGTACATGGCTATATATATATATTACGTAACTGTATATATAGATATATACGTATGCCTATATATTTATAATTTGTATGAAAAAGAAAACACCCTCTCTTCAGTACACTGAATCATTTCGGCCTAGTGTTATGCAATTTAATCAATTCTAAATGATTTCTATGAATATTTTATAGTACAATGTTATATGCACGCAATTATAAAGTTTGCCTTCACATTGAAACCCGGCCCCCCCCTTTCGTTTTGGTTTGATTGGTGATATGTGAAACTTCTTTCTCCCCCCCTACTCTCTCTCTTTCTCTTTCTCTTAATAAAATGAAATACTCTGTTTCGTTGCTTGCTATATTTTGTTTTATATTAATAAAAATAAATTTATGATTAAAGATATATGTGTATGTTATTAAAGTGATCTAAATGGTTGCTAAGCTTGATGTTACGTGCTTCTCAGGAAAATCGCATGTTTGATTGCTCTCAATTTTTTTTATGCAAAGCATTGTTACAGGGTGTGTTTTTCCTTTGTCATGAGTAACTGTGTTTTTAGTATATTTTCATAATTTTTAGATTTTCTTAAAAGTAGAATCTGTTATGAACTAATGTAGGAGGTTGGATTATTCATCATAATGTATAGTGGCAAGCGGCTCTATTAATCTATTGTGTTTGAATTCACCAATTTTTCACTATTTAAATCGCTTCATTGTATATTATATCGAAATACTTTTTTTAATTTGAATAATATTTCTACCTGCTTTGTTGTATGGTTATTCAAGTCAACTACTGATACAGAAGTTGCCTATAGTTGAGTTCAAACTAGCCGTGTAATGGATAAAAACCGAGAGTGAGATAGCATCTTTAATAGCTTAAATCAAATTATGCATCCCTCAGAAAATGAATACAAATTTTGATCACTGGCTTACACTTGTCTTCTAGACTAAAACTGATTGGCCCAGTCTAACACTAATATAATATTTATTACATTTATTGTCACAGAATGAGATTATCTAGTGAATGATTGAGAATTTGTGTTCAATCAATGGAACAATCATAGATGCCAGGTGATAGAATATCTTACTCTTTCCACAAAATACCAATCCATCATGAAAAACTAATCTCGATGACCAACATAATTAATTTTCCCCTCCTTTATTTGAAGAAATTTATGTTTTATGGTTATTAAACATAAAAATATCTTTTATAGCCTATAATTATAAACACATTTAAACAAAATGAAGTTGGAATAAAACACTTGAACATTCATAATAATAATGATAATTTTCTTTTCCGGTGTGTGTTATTGGATTTTAAATGAATGAAATAATCTAAGTGATGCTAGGATTAAGTAAAACACAGAAATTATTCATTATTAAACGAGTCCTAGAGTGAACATAAATTTTGAGATACAGGTACATCCAGTTGACGAGTGCCAAATAGGACGAAACGCGCATCTTGGATTACACTGCTAATCACTATCCATTTGAGCTTATCATGCTTATGACTCAAGACAATATTGAGGCAGTCCGCACAGGATGCACATATGTCAACAAGAGACTGATCAATTGAAGACTTTAACAACAATCGTAAGATACAAGCAAATAATACCAAGTGAATTATTGAACGAAGTTATAAATTATATTTACCGTAGGATGTTCATTATCACTATCATTAAAGTGTTTTTTGTAAGCACATTCTAAATATTTTATGATAGTTAAATGATAATGATAAAAGGCTGGAAGAGATGTATTTTTCGGCAATGATGAACTGTCAGTTGCGTTAAATCTCTTTTAAATCCAATAATCGAAGGAATGTAACTGCGTACTGAAGTACAGAGTTCCATTCACTGTAGCAGGTTCTTAGTTAGTTGACATATTTGAAGCATCTTCAAGAAAGGGGATATTTCAGGCACAGAGTAACTAATAAGGAATTTGAAATCCGTGATTGGTTCACGCTCAGTTGATTAGGTGTGATAATGAGAATAAGTTTAGTTTAATCACTCTATTATCATGCGACAGATTTGAGACCGAACAAACTAAATTAGTTACTAATCCTTTGAATCTCTTTCAACTGCTCATTCTCGTTTGTTAGCGAGAAACTGACTGTTTATGTGCAATCTTCGAGTTTTGAGAAAATCAATATTGTAAACAATGTCACAAATGTTTGAACAAACAGATAAGTGAACGTTCTGTTTTCACTTTCAAAGATAACATTTATCATGAATAGTTACTTATTCAATGATAAGTGATGTTTGAAGATGTATTGGACAATGCCTTCCCTATAACTTGAAATTGAAGTTGAAAAGTATCCAACACTTGATTTCTGAACTTAGTCATCCAGAACGTTTATACGCAACCGTAGGATTTAAGTGATCTACGTTCTATTTTATGGATAAGAGAAACCTTTCATTTTTTCTATTATTTTATATTTTTGTCTTAGCTAAAAGATTTCGACCTCATTTTACTAATGTTCCATCATCAAGACAAATTATTCCACCAGGTGGTCAATTAACATTAAGTTGTACTGCTGTTGGTGCACCAGTACCTAATGTTCAATGGTATCGAGATAAACAAATTTTACCTGGAGAACAATTAAATAAACAACCACCTGGTACAGCAAAACTTGTTTTAACAAATTTATTAAAATCAGTAAATGTTACATGTGTAGCTGAATCAATAATTGGACGTATTTATCATGATATACAAGTTATTGTAAAAAGTAAGGAAAAAATATTTTTTATAATGGACTTTTATATTGTTTTATCATAATAGAAACTGAAATATACTACAGTTGAAATCATGAGTCATTTGAAGATAGACCACCATGGAAAACTTGGAAGCAGTGGACTGCTGTTTCATCCTATTGTGGGATTTCTCAACAGCGCTCATCCACGATCCCGCCTCGTGAGATTCGAACACAGGACCTATCAGTTTAGCGTGCGATCGCTGAACCACTAGACCACTGAGCCGGTATTCAACAGTGTTAATGTCTAACTTCAACCGATCCACGAAATTGAGCAACCGTCTACCATTATCTTCAGTGAGTTGTTATCTCACAACAGATCTGGTTGTGAGACTCATTATCATGAATTGGTCGTAGCTAAATATTAACATTTTTGGATGGCAGCTCAGTGGTCTAAGAGTTAGGCAATGAATAACAACACAATAAAAGATCACGAAGGATGACAGTAGTTGGATGTGATACTTAATTTGTTGATGAAATCTTTGAAAATGAGAACAAAGTTCATTGAATTATTTGGATGCAACTCTTAAACAGTCGCTTTGACGATAACATATAAGATCCATATTATTCCGTGCAGAATATTATCAATCTTGTAAAGGGTACCCATATTTGACAGACAAGCGTTAAAATAGTATTCGTTTTAATCTTGATTAACAATAATTGTATGGAGTGAGATGAAGTCTGTCTTCTTCAAATTTTGCCCTTCCAGGCAAACTACATCACAACTTCAGTTTGTTTTATGTTAGTTCAACATTTTTAAATGGATATAATACAGTTATATCCTCCTATTTATGGAATAATAATCATGAATCATTTTATTTCCATTGTCCATTTGACTTGGTTTCGTATTGATTTACTTATACTACTCACTCTAATTTCAGTTGTGGGAGGTAGCTACTGACAGAAATTATACTTATCTATCATTTGTTTTTCATTTTATAGACTGCTGTAAGACTTCAGTCATTATTTTCATTGTCTTTCTCTTTTATAGATTTACCCGATCCACCAGGTGATTTTCAATTAATTGAATTGGGTGCAACACATGCTCGTATAGCATTAAAACCAAGCACTAGTCTACCGTCTTCTGTTCGAAACTACTTAATGTTATGGTTGCCAAGTTCTCAATTTACAAACCAAACTTTATATGAATTACCACATCAATTCAATCTCTTAATCAATCAGCCTGGTGATCAGATTGAGCCAATAATGTTGTCCAATACAGAGCATGTAAGTCATTTGTTTATCCATTTTCATAATTATTAAAAAATTGTAACATCTTTAGGATCACAAACCTATAAGAACTATATCACCATTGAAAACCTGGAGGCACCAGATGGCTGTTTCGTCTTTGCATGGGACGCCTCAGTGTCCAGCATTCAAGACCCCGCAAGAGGGAATCGGACCCAGGACTTCAGGTTTCGCGCTTTGAGGTTTTCGATGGTGGTCTAACATTGGCTGTTCAGTGATTTCAATTGGACTGACGATAGCCATAACCCTATTCTCACAAAGGCTCAATGGTTTAAAGTTTAAGCAGTGCCTACGACACCCGTAAACTTCATGTTCAACTGCTGATGAGCATGTAGAAGCACACGTCTAAAGAGTCTCACACTAGGAATAGACATTTATACAATGTTTCTTGTAATTCGATAATTATTCAACTAATATTAATCAGTGATGTAAATCATAAATATTTCAGGTGGTACACTTTTCAGGATTAACCTTCGTTTCTATACTTCATTTATTTTTTAAAATTTAGTCTCGACCAAATCTAATCATGTTGCCGAAATATTTAAAAAATATCAGTCTTTCATCTATAAGTAATTATCATCTACATCAGCAACGCCAACAACAGTTCCAGCAGTCAGACATTAATCAACAGATTAATAATAATAATAATAATCTCATATCAGAAGAAATAACAAATCCTTATTCTCTGTACAATATTTTGGTGATCTCTTTAACTCAATTAAAACCTTATACTGAATATACATTATGGGCAAGAACTGTTGGTGAAGATGGTGATACTTCCTTACCTAATCAACCATTTTTATTTACCACGAAAGAACTTGGTAAGTTGATATTTTTCAGTGAAACAAAAGAAAACACTCATTAGAAATCATCACCACTTTACTCTGTTATCCAATTGTAGCTTAGATGAAACTATGATATAATGATTAGTCAATCAGATTGAAGATCATAATTCATGAATTTCTGTATGAAATTTCTGATTCAATGACAGATAACGTGTTTCTTAATAGGAATCAAATAAAACTTCAGTCAGTCAGTCACAATGTAGAACTTCGTACGTTCATACATCTGTTCGAGTTGCCATACCACATTAACACAGAGATACAATGGTCGATTCAAATCCCATAGTGGTAGAAGTAGTAAGAGTATAAACATTATGTGAAAGATCAGGGTTTGAAGATGTTATTGAAGGAGTATAATACAGTGAAATAAATTTGGAAAGAGAAAAAGATAGAAACATGAAGAATTTAGAAGATTAGAATTTGGTAGAACACAAAGAGTGGATGAACTTTCGCTATTGCAAACGATTTTGAGCCATATCATGCAAGGTATCTAACCATCGATTTCTATCATCTTGCGAATATCCACCAGGTAGTCTACACCTACCAGCATGGTTCAGTCCAATTTTCAGTGACTTCACGGATTTGTGCCACGTTTTGGTCTGGCCGCCCCTAGCTTTCTTCCAACCTACTCAAATAAAACTTACTAAAAAGAAGCTATTGAGAAGCTTAAAATATATAAACATGAGAGTTCTACAAGGTATAAACTACTGTTCATGAAGTGTATGATATAGCTCAATAGTTGTTGATATTGCGAATGAAAGAGCTAATAATCCAAGTGTTTCAATTAGGGAAATACAGGATGACTTACAATTCGCCCAAAATGTCTTTCTCGTTCCCGAAATTACTCTATATTTCCCCAAGTTAATTGTCTTAGTACATATGTATTGATATAAACAATTATTCCGCTTTTATTCAAAAAGGTAAATTGTTTTAGGTTTTAATGCCGTACCTTATTTATATAATATACATCCTGAATGGCTAGATGTCGACTTGACATGCTCAAGGTTATTTCAAGAGTTACTGAATTTGTCAGCATAGTGTGTTTTTACACTTGTCACTAGTCTTTAATGGAGACCATTTTTCTGCAAATTTTCCTGTTTAACCTAAAATGCAATGTTATTGAAGATAGTGACAAGTGATCCATTGTTTTATTCAGCTATTGATTTTTCTATAGGCTAAGATTTTCAGCTGCTTTACGATGATCATTTGATGAATTTGAATGGTTACCAAGTAAAACAGTTTTATTCATTATGTAGATAAAAGTCTAATTTGTAATAGTGTACAAGGAAATCATGGTCAGAAAGAAGCAAGGGTAGAACTAAACTATACTAACGGCTTTGAGCGATTCTAAGAGTCATGTTGAGCTGAACCAATCAAACACCATTCAATTATGAAGCAGCTTTTGTAAATGAATCGAATATTTTAATAAAATCATGAAAGTACGGAGAATGTAGAGTTGTAGTTTAGTAGCAACTCTATACATCATAACTCTGACACTTTTAACAACAATACTCCTAAAGTAGTATAACCTCTGAACTCCACATGTCATTAGATAGCTTTAGATAGTCCCTCATTATATGGATGATCTACGACGATATCATCAGCCAAATCGGTCAAACATATAATATCCATTAGCAGATTATCCTTAATTCCGTTTTAAAAATCACGCATAAATCCAACAGTTGTTATCTCTATACTGACTAATAGATTCCATTTGTTTTTGAGCTATCAGATTAGTTTTGTCTTACCGAGACAAGACTAAATCTTTTTCATATTTTTTATTGATCAATTTAATAAAAGGATATTTTATGGTATTTTATTGGAACCTTAGTCGTAAAACCAATTTCCCTCTCTCTCCCTCCCCCCCCCTTGTAATCCGTTAATTATTTCCATTATACTTTTAATGCTCGTTAATGAAAAGTCAATTAACTGTATATCTGTCATTTAGCTAACGATAAAAAACATTGTCCTAGTTATGTACATATTACAATTTATTAATTGCGATGCACTGCATTTGTTCATTATACTCACTATAATCACGTGAATCACGACTACTCATTTGAATTTCACATCAAAGACGATTATAATTCGAATGATATATCAACTAATAAAAGAATTAAGTCATAAAGTATCTTATCTATAACTGACAAATACGTTATATTAAAAAAAATAGTCCACATGATGTGAAATTGGTTAGATAAACGACTGCAAATCAACTTAACTGATAGTTTTCGATTAATATTGTTGTTGTCTAACTTTGATCAGTTCGTGATTTTAATGTAATTGAACTCCATACTGACAACAATCATGTTCTCACTTATTATTGATTATTTTTAAGATGAAGTAATATAAAATTTTAACAAAATTATTTAATGATACTGGGATAAATATCAGAAGGGGTTTTTGTGGAAGTTTTTGTAATTTTATATAATTGAAATCATGAGTCCATTGAAGCTGGACAACCATGGAAAACCCGAAATCACTAGACTGCTGTTTCGTCCTATTGTGAAACTTCTCAGAAGTGCACATCCACGATCTAACCTCGAGAGATTCAAACCCAGGACCAATCAGTTTCGTGTTCGAGTGCCAAACCACTAGACCATTAAGCCAGCATCCAACAGTATTAATGTCTACCTTCAACCATTCACCAATGTCTTCAGTGAGTTGATATCGCACAACAGACCTGGTTGAACACCTGGATTCGAATCTCTCGAGGTGGGATCGTGGATGCGCACTGCTAATGAGTCCCACAATAAGACGAAACGGCAGTCCAGTGATTCCAGGTTTTCCATGGTGACCTAGCTCCAATTGACTTGAATAAATAGTATAATCTAAGAGAATTAGTGATTCTCAAAGTGACTACATATAGTTAAAACCTTTTTAACCGATTCGTACCAAATTTTTTTTATCAAAATGAAGTAATAAAACTTTTAAAAGTACAATAGTTTTAAAATAGTTTATTAACCGTTTTAATAGCAATATCGAGGCGATAAGCACAGTATGCATATATGGTCAATAAGAGACTGACCAGTTGCAGTGAATTTAGTGAACTTAAACTTTGACCCGTTGCACAAGCAAATGGCTACCAGGACTCAGTAACTGAGTGGATAACGCGATGGCGTTTGAAGTGAAAGGTACTGGGTTGGAGTCCCAGAGTGAACATCAACTCTGAGATACTGGTACATTCAGCTGACAAGTCGCAAATAGGACGAAATGCGCGTCCTGGTTTCCACTACTAGCCACTATCCATCTTTGCCTAATATCAATTAGTTTTATGGAAATATCTTCATACATAACTTTATTAATCTAAATGTGTATGAACTCACTTTGAAAAACTTTCTTCTTCAATATTTTAAATAACAATAAATAGTTTTATTGAAAAAAAAGATTCTTCCTCACCTACACAAAGTCTTCTCTCTCTTTTCTTTTCTTTTTTCGTCGATGAATTCATTGAATAGTTATAAAGATGAAAGTTTATTTGAATCATTGTTAGTTTTATCATTCCTACTTTAATAGTTTATTGAAATATTCAATGGACCGTTAAAAAAAAAAGTGGATTGTCATTCCAAGTTTATTTTATACTCAAATCAAATAAAAAGAAAAGAAAAAAAAAGGTAAAGCAAATGATTCACGTGGTTCTGTGAAGACAAAAAAATCTGTATATAAAATAATGAACGTTTAGTAAATATAATATTGGTATTTTTAATTTATTTCCATGATTACTATAAGAATTCATGTTTCTAAGGTATTCTTAGTGAAACTATAACTTATCGACGATATTTGAGTGATGTTAAAGTGACTCTGAGAATGAACACTTATTAACTAGTGTAGTGAACAAGAACAAGGTCAGAAACAATTGAATGTACAAATTACAGACTATTCCACTAAATTTTGTTAACCATACAGTAAACAGTTAATTTGCAAAATAACAATAAATTGTCTCAATCTTAAATGTACCTTCTGCAAATATCAATTCATCTTCTCTGATTTGATTGTTCATGCATTTTCATACCGATTACCTTCCATTCCTGTTCTTTCCTTATCGATCTTCTGCCAAAATACATTCTATGTTTGACCATTATCATATACTACTTATGTGGATATAAGTAGCCCATACCACACTAGGACGAAATAACGGTTAGAAAGGAGTGTGAGGAATTAGAATTATAATTTACAGTTGATGATTAGGGTAAGGTATTAGATTTAGAGTTTTCATCACAAAATGACATCAGCTAAAATGCCAAAACACTATTTAACCAAATGGATAAATGAATTTCTTACCAAAATCCAAGACTCGTTATGTTATATGTGATTGGTCCATCCATAAATTATAGTCTCGCCAAATTTTATAATGCGTTATTTATTTTATGTGGTGAAACATTAAATCTATTCATTTTTGTCAGAATGAGAATTTATGGAGATTGTAGTAATTTTAATTGTTGAATTCATGAGTCCATCTAAACTAGACTACCTTTGAGAACCTGCAAGCACTGGACGGCCGTTTTGTCCTAGTAGGGGACTTCTCAACAGTGCACATCCACGATTCCACGTACATGACTCGAATCTAAGAACTTCGGTCTCACACACGAACGCTTAACCCCTAAACCACTGAACTGGTATTCAATAGAGTTGATGTCTAACTTCAATGGATCCATGATCTTACTCAACTCTTCATCAATTATAGAAGGGGTTTTGTGGAGATTTAGTATTTATTATAGTTGAAAGCGTGAGTCAATTGAAGCTAGACCACCATGGAAAACCTGGAAGCACTGGACGGCCGTTTCGTCCTGTTATGGGACTCCTCAGCAGTGCGCATCCACGAACCCACTCTCGCGAGCGAGATTCGAACCCAGGACCTACCAGTCTCGAGCCGAAGCCCTTAACCGATTAAGGGCTTCGGCTCGAGACTGGTAGGTCCTGGGTTCGAATCTCGCTCGCGAGAGTGGGTTCGTGGATGCGCACTGCTGAGGAGTCCCATAACAGGACGAAACGGCCGTCCAGTGCTTCCAGGTTTTCCATGGTGGTCTAGCTTCAATTGACTCACGCTTTCTTCATCAATTGTCTGAAGTGGATAACTGTCTCCATTCGATATGGAATAGACTCCACTGGTCACAGCTTCTCACTGGAACTCCAGGAAATTTTTTTTTCAATTTCACGGGAGAAAATTTTTAAGGTCGACTAAATTATCCTGGTTGAGTAGTTCCTGATTGATAATCATTTTTCAGCTTCAGAAATAACACAGTAAAAATGATATTTTAATCATTAAAAGTTTATAGTTACTCCAACATTCCACCAACTTAGCGATCTGATAGTTTAGTAGATAGAAAGTGTTTTGATGGGCGGTGTCCGAAATCTGATACTAATATATGATGTGCTACGCACTACCCTCTCAATTAACTACTTGGAAGAGAACACACGAGTGGACTAGAAAGTATGTTGAGCTACCGAGTAAAATGCAGAAATACAGATCCAATGAAATGGACTTCTCCTTCAGGTCGCTTCTAATTGCCATTGACTGACCTTCTCATCTGATTACTTCAGATTGGCTTACAACACTAGAAAGTTTCTTTATTGGTCGTGCACTATGATAGTAACTTTTAATATTAATTGATTCTATTGGTAAGACGCTCATTGTAAGATCTAAAGCTACTAATTTCAAACATCTAGCACGACCATTACGATTCATTGTTATAAGGTACCATGCTTCAATATAAATCACTTTATAGCACTTCATAATTTTCACTGGTACCCAAAATTGGATCGAATACAAATTACTAATTAGGCATTTATTCACTTCAGTTCAAGCTATATTCATATAGGATGAAAATCCAGCGTTAAGTCTAAAAATCACTTCAAACCATCATATCGTAGTAATAATTATATATACAACCAATAACCGGCTTCGTAATGAAATCCTCAACTTCTTGTGATAAATCTAGGATACTACAAATTATCACAACACTGCTAGTAATTAGTTGTATTGTTTACACGATATCATGAATTAACAGAAGTTGATAATTCAAATCATTAGACTATAGTGTAGTGTGGTCAACTTATATCCATATAAGTAGTATATAGCAATGGTCAGACATAGAATGTATTTGGGCAGAAGAACGATAAGGGAAGAACTGAAATGAAGTGCAATTGGTAGGAAAATTCATGAAAAATGGAATTAGAGAAAACGAACTGATGTTTACAGAAGGAACAGTGAAGATTGAGACAATTGGTTGTTAATTTGCTGTATGGTTAACAGAATTTAGAGAAACAATCTGTAACTTGTACTTCGATATATTCCATTGTCCCCGACTAGTGTTTTTGTTCACTACAATAGCATCCATTATAATTGCTAGTACTATCTTAACTTCTGATCCTTGGATTTTTAGTTAGTTACTCTTTGATATTCTAGAATATCACCCTTAGAAATTATATTTTTCTAATGTTTAAACTTGAGTTCTTTCAAATGTATACCATCCCTATTTTATTCTTCGTTTCTATTTGATGGAGATTTTTTTTCCTTTCAACCAATATTAAAAATGAAGACAGATTACATATGTGAATACATATTTTTTCTAGTTCCCATAGTCGTAATTGTTTTTTTGCAATCGTTATATGCATTTAGCGTACCGCTTTCAATTAGATAAGTGAACACCGATAAGGAGAGTGAGTGAGTGAGAGAGAGAGAGAGGGAGGGAGGGAGAAGTAGTAACATATACAAACAGAAAGGGTAGATCAATCGATTGATTGACAAACAGATTAGTTAATTTAAACAATATATATGGGTATATTGAACATCTGTTTCTGGCTTAATTTTCTTTCAAAATTATACCCATATACATATGTATTCAATTATGTCGGTTGTTGAGTACAGTATGAAATGACCTATTTTTTTATCAATGAGAAATGGTTTTTTCTTCTTCAGAAACTAGTCTGTTTTTAGTATTCTGTGAAATCTGCTTATTTCTTTTATTATTTATTTAATTTAAATAATTTTGCTTGACAGTTGTTTACTACTTTCAAATATATATCAGTAGTATATAGTCATTTATATGGCATTTTAAGCGGTAGTGTTTATTTTGAAATTTACGTCTAAATCATAAATAATTTTATACAGTTGAGATGATGAATCAATTGAAGCTAGAAAATAGAAAATCTAGAAGCATAGGACGGCTGTTTCGTCCTATTATGGGATTCCTCAGCAGCACTCATCCACGATCTTGACTCGCGAGATTCAAACCCAGGACCCATCGGTCTCTCGCTCGAGCGCTTAACCACTAGACCGCTTAGCCGGTATCCAACGGTGTTAATTTCTAACTTCAACCGATCCACGAGATTGAGCAACCAATCACCAATGCCATCAGTTAGTTGATATCTCCCAACAGACCATGTTGGACTCCACTGGTTACTGCTTCTTACTAGAACTCCAGGAAATACCTCTTAGAGCCAGTCACTAGTGAGCACATGATTATATCAGAAGGTGTTTTGTGGAAATTTTAGTAATTTTATATAGTTGAGACGAAACGGCCGTCCAGTGCTTCCAGGTTTTCGATGGTGGTGTAGCTTCAATTCACTCATGATCTCAACTCTATAAAATTACTAAAATCTCCACTAAATCCCTTCTGATAAATAATTTTATTGAATTTCCTTATAAAGTTGTTGATAATGGTTTTCCTATGTGAATATTTCAATGTGAAAGATTTTGAATGAATATCTATGTCACCAATAGTTTTCAAACGGTGAATTACTAAATTTCCCTTTATCTCGATGACAGTTAAATGCAGTAATTTGAAATTGTGTACTACAGCACATGTAACTGAAAGCTTTTTGTTTCAAAATCATAAGTACTAACTTCTATTCGATATGTTAGAAAAGATGTTCATAGCTGACTATTAGTGAACGGGCAACTCTTATCTTGATTTACAATACTGAAGCAGCAATATCAGCTTTAGGAATAACTCCCTTCTCAAAAAAGGAAATGTGACATAGTCTTGTTCGTATGAAATAAATCCATACTCTTTAAGTCACGAAATGGATATTTAACTATTTAAACAACTGATTTTGCTCTGTTGATACAATTCCAATTACAATCAGTTTAATATACAGCGTCATATGCACAACATAAAACCTTAACTGTTCTTCATGAAGCCCTTCAACTAATTCATCTTTCAACTTAGTTTAATTTTTTATTTCCCTCTATTAAAGCTCCATCTAGTCCTCCATTAAATGTTTATGCACAAGCACTTTCAAATGCTGCGGTCACTGTTTATTGGGATCCACCAATTGAATCAAATGGTCGAATACGAGTAAGCTATTTTCTTCTTTACTATTTATGTTGATGTTACATTATGTGACATTAATATTATATAATGATTATTATTGAGAAAATGTAAATCACTAAAAAATTTTAAACTATGTAACTCACTACTTATGAATAGCATAGACTTCAATAAACATCTATCTATATCATCATTCATATATTACTGATATCAGATATTAGCTTAGAGTAATCTAAATAATATTTGATCAATACGCAAGATAATGAATCTTTCATTTTTTAAAAAGCATACACATAGTAGAGAAGTTACTAAAAGAACTAGTATGGTTTGCGTTACTGATGCGGATAGATATAAGTAGTATGTAGTAGGAGTTGAAAGTGAAATACTTTCTAGTAGAAGATTGAAATCAAGAGAACACGAAGGAAACCAAAAAAAAAACAATCGAAATAATAACAGGGTTGAAAGAATGTTGGCGTATGTAAAGGATAAATCAAGAGAGATATGCAAAACGATAATTTATAGTGATATTGGGTAGCTTTGCATTAAACAATAAATTGGTTTATCGTACTTGAGTTTTGTTCATTAAAATAGTGTTCATGTAATATCATTTAATGTTTTTTTCTGGCATACAATGGACTAATATATGCTAAGATGCTGTTATCCAATAAGGTTATTTGACTCATGGGAATATAATACTGTCTCATTTGCTGATAGTCATAATTGAATGTTTGATTTAGATGTAATAACATTTAGCCTCAAACATTAGAAACTCCATTAATGTCTATGTATTTGAGAGAAGTTTTGTAGAGATTTCGGTATTTTCATCGTTGAAATCATTAGTCAGTGGTGATCAAAAATATCGGATGTGAAGCAGTTACTTAACAGTCACTAGCATTGGAAGATTATTGTATAAGATCGTGAATCGATTGATGTCAGACATTTAGACCATTAGATGCCAACTTATTGATCTGAAGGCTAAATACTTACTGATAGACCTAAAGGCCTTAGGTTCGATCATGTTTTTGAGGTTGTGGATGTACACTACTAAGAAGTTGGATGTTAACTATCCATTGCTCCCTGGTTTTCAGCAGTTATCAAACTAAGATTAAGTCGTGATTTCACTTACAAAATATTGTTCAATATGATGATAGTGATGCAGTCTGGTTATTTGTTTTTGAATTAAAATCAACGATCACTTTATCTTTTATAGGCATATCGAATCTATTACACAAATAATCCAACATTAGAATTTTCCTATTGGGATACAAGTATAGTGAACCTAGAAGCATTGAAATCTCAGTCAATTACATCATCTGTAACAACCTATAAAAAGAATGACGAACAAATAAATCTTCCAGGTCACTTATCGATTTTATCACATTTAACAACAAATGCTACATATTATTTACGTGTTAGTGCAGTAAATGGTCAAGGTGAAGGACCTGCTTCAGATATATCTGTTGTTATTGTACGACCAGGAGGTGAGTACACTCATTATTATTACCATTTATATAATCATTATTGTGGGTTTTTGATCTATTCCGTTGATAACATTCAAGATTAAAATTTAAGCAGTCCCTTCTTGCTAATTTACAAATATTCTGAGGATTATCTTGATAAGAATATCAATGGGATAATTCAAACGTTTATTAGCAACGATGTAAACATATCTGTTGGACGAGTTAATGAATATTACGATTAAGTAGTTCAGTGGTTAACGTATTGGTTGTTTATTGTGAAAGGTACTACATTCTAGTCTCAATATAAACTTCTGCAATACTAGAATGCAGGTATATCCGGCTTACGTAAGCAAAGTAGGACAATATGGTTATTCTAGTTACTACTGCTAACCACATTTTGTCTATTCTATAAAAATTATGATATTTTTACTGACTAGGTATAAATAAAGTCAACTGAATGTGATCGAACTTTTCAGTTAGTTTAATATACATAATGTTCATGGAGATTATTGAATTCCCATAGATTTCATCATGAACTGACTCTAGATAGGTCACTATTGAAAAAACAACTAGCATTAGACAGCCACTTCCATCTTAATATGTGACTAGTCACTAACGTTAGGATTCGATTCCCGGAGCTCTGTTGAGAAACCATCACCTATGGAGTTCAATAATATCAAATGCGAGGGACAGTTGTCCATTGCAGACAGAGGAAGTTACTTGCTTATTTACTTACGCCTGTTACCCCTCGTCGAGGAGCATAGGCCGCTCACCAGCATTCTCCACCCAACTCTGTCCTAAGTCTTCCTTTCCAGTTCTTTCCAGTTGTTATTCAGCCTTTTCATATCGGCTTCTATTTCCCGGCGTAGTGAGTTATTTGGTCTTCCTCTTTTCCGCTTCCCTTCCGGATTCCAAGTTAGGGATTGAGTCGCAGAGGAAGTTGGTCGCGCAATATTGCGAAACGATTGAAGTTAAACATGCATTGAAGGTCTTGGGCTTGGTCAAATAATGGATTCAAACTGCTGAGGGGCCTTATACTTGAAATCAACACCCAGTACTTTATTATTTTATAACGGTGATCTAGTTAAGATCAGTTCGTGATATAAAGTATTAAAGTTCTATGGTTTTTAAAAATCATTCATTACTAATGTTCCACTGGTTCGTTATTTCATTTCATTTTGCTTACCTTGACAGTTCATCAAACTTTGTTGTAATTTATGGTTTATCTTAAATACCTTAGGCTCAGAGTGGATGATTTTCTAACAGAAAACGTTCTAACGGATAATTGCTACTTTATTCCATTAGTTGTAAATGTTTTCAAAGTACCGTATTTTATGATATTTGAAATGGATTAGTATTATTCGATAACAACTTTATCTATTTCGAATAAACATCAGCTCTCTGTGTCCTCTTTCTCAGTATCTGGACATCACTCTCACTGACCCAGATATCGTCTAACATATTTAATGATGTACATATATAAAAATGTTTTATTAAGGGTAGATTTCTGTGAATAAATCTAAACGATTGTAATAGAAGAGATTGTACAATGTATGCGATTAAAGAAGTGATTTAACCCTGATGGAGGCGAAAGTTCATTTCTGCTAGTGTATTTATGATCATAAGAAAGAAGGGTACAAATGTTTGTGTCGCTTATATGAACCTGCTCAGTGTATAAATGTGACTTTAAACTGTTTGGATTAAATACGTTATCTTCCTAAAAGAATGTTTAGTTCATTTTTGACTCTACAAATCTTACTAGTCTTTCTTTTTTTCCAAAGTTCTTCGAGATTTTCATTCTTGAAAATTTTATTATTGAAAGCTAATCTTCCATTCAATAAATACAAGAATCTGTTTAAATATTACAGCAAACACTAGAGTATTTCATTGAAACCATAGCCCAATGTAAGTTAGACAGTAATTCGTAAGCTTGAATCGCTGGAAGACTTATTCCTCCTATTAAGGTGCGCATCCATGATCCCTCATGCAAGGATCGAACTTAAGATGAACGCTCAGCCTCCAAACCACGGAGCCTGGATCCAACGGCCTTATTGTTTAACTTCAATCGATCCATGATCTTGCGCAAAAAAATTTCTACGATATCCACAAATTCCTATTTTGACAAACTATTTTACTAAAGTTGAACAGCAGGTAATGGCGGGATTCAGGGTACACGTCATTGAACAATTTAGGGCCATTCACCTGGATATACCTCTATTTCAGTGTTGATGTTTACATTGAATGCCAAACTCAGTATCTTTCAAACGCCAACTCGTTACCTATTGAGCTGCTAAATTCAGATATGCACCAGTTCAGTGCAAGTAACAACATTGGGTTGCAGGTACGTCTATCTGAGGCGTCGCAAATAAAAAGAAACGTGCATTCTGAATTCCACTGTTAACCGCTAATCAAATTTACTAAAATATTTATGCTAATTAGCAATACCATAACAATCCACTTAGTATACACAATGACCGCAAAAGAATATTCGATTACAATCCTTAACTGCAATTGTGCGGAAATACAAACCTTTCACGAGGGTTACTAACACTTTCCGTAATATATAATACATTTGCCATATACTATCGAAAAATTCGCTGTCCAATGGGCAATCGCAGTTTAAGATCCAAAATTCATATTTTAATTTCCCCCACCCACTCCGACTCTTTTCCCCTTTTTCTCCTCAGGTTTAAGATACTGTCTTCAGCAAAGTTTATTTCCAACAATTAATTTGAATATAAATCTTTAACACTGAAAAAGCAGAAGAAAACTTATGTTTATATACATGAATAAATTAGGTTAATCAATAAAAACCTCTTGTCCTTACCATATAACCATCTGTCATCACTCTAATACCGCTCTAATGAACTCTCTGTGTTCAGGTTATTGACTTTCACTATAATACTTATTATTATTGGTAATTATCATCAGTACTCAGAAGGGGTTTTTATGGAGATTTCAGTATTTTCATAGTTGAAATCATGAGTCAATTGAAGCTAGACCACCATCGAAAACCTGGAAACACTGGACGGCCAAATCGTCCTATTATGGGACTCCTCAGCAGTGTGCATTCACAATCCCGCCTCATGACATTCGAACCCAGGACCTACTAGTATTGTGCCAGAGCACTTAACCGATAGACTCATGATTTCAACTACGAAAATACTGAAACCTCTACAAAAACCCCTTCTGATTATAATCATATGCTCACTAGTGACTGACTTCAAGATACATGTCCTGGAATTCTAGTGAAAAGCAGTGATAAGTGGAGTTCAATCACGTCTGATGTGAGATAACAACTCACTGAAGACAATTGGTGAACGATTGCTCAAACTTTGTGGATTGGTTGAAGTTAGACATTAACACCGTTGGATGCCAGCCGGCTCAGTGATCTATAGGTTAAGTGCTCTGGCGCGAGACTGGTATGTCCTGGGTTCGAATGTCGTGAGGCGTGATTGTGAATGCCCACTTCTGAGGAGTCCCACAAGAGGATGAAACATCCTCCCAGTGCGTCCAGTTTTTCCATGGTGGTGTAGCTTTAATTAACTAATGATTTCAATTATGAAAATATTATTAGTACTCCTAATAATAATTGTTACTATTTGGTAGTCTTACTAATAGATTAATAATTAAACTTTGTGTCTGTATGTGTACTGTTGTCTTTTGAGATCTAAAGTGATTAATGTAATTGATAGAATAGTTGCGGTTACCTATCGTTCCTATAAAAAGAAATCAATATGTCTGTAACCGAACTGTCTATATGTAATTTACATTTATGACATATATATTTATGATTTATTTATTGCTACAATCTAATAATTAATCAGAAAACGTTTTTCCTTGAAATCAAAACTTTCATTTTTCTAAGTAAACCGGCCAAAATGTCAATGACAACTTGGAAGTAGGTTTCTGTATGTGTGAGTGTGTATGCAACTGAGCTCTTGTGAGTCTACGTATGATTGAATCGTTCGCCACTAGACTAATATCGAATTTTTTCCTTTTTGTTATCAAACAATTGAATGTATTTTTCTTTAAAATATTCGAAAGTAAACTAGACATTTTTTGCTTAATAATGACAACTGACTATATCTAGTACAATTATTACTATTTATACTACTTATTAAGTATTTAATCAGTAGATTAGAAAAAAAAAACAGAGAAAAATAATTGGTTATGTTTAGTTTGCATCCATCTTGGTTGTAAATAACAAACATTCAATTCATTGAACTCTGCACAAAGAAATAGTTTTATGCTTAGTTCAGTCGAGAAATTCTGATCAATACAAGGTTGAGTGGGTATTTCAGCTATTGGAGTGAATGAGAATTCTAGTGAAGAAAAACCAAATTCATTTGGATATGAAATTACAGAATTTCGTAGTAAAATCTGAGAATCATATTGCAAATTCTTCATTTGCAAAATGTCAATCAGTTGTTCCACACTTTATTTTACCTTCGTTTCCATATCGGTCACTTTCTGTTCTTGTTCTCTTCTATTCAATCTTTTCAACTTTCTACCTTCAGGTATTTTACTTTAGATTGGTCATACATACTACATATATCTGTCATAATCAATAGCTCCCATTACACTATCATTTGTGTGAATCATATTTTAATTTACATTTTCATCAAACTTAAATTACCGTTCTTTATATACTTAGATAGTTTAATTAATAGACAAGAAATGTTTTTTAAGTTAGGATTAGTGAACGATAGTTGCTACGTATATTCTAGATAGTGAGTAACATTAAGTTCATTCTATTTGAGATTGATTACATGTCCTCAGCTTTATTCATAATGGGGAAGTAAACCTAATACCTAATTTATCAGATACCTGAACGTAATATATTTGACGATTATAGCTACGTCAACTACAAACTTGTTCAGTTAGTGTGATTTTTACAAATAACTTGTTGGGGAGTTTCATGTATTTCTCGGAAAAGTCTGTAGGAGCTTAGAAAGCTCCTGGAATTAATTAATCCAATCACTATTGAATAGACATTTTTCAGAAACATCTATAAAGCGGGGCCACGTGTTACGTCTCTTATTGGATATTTTTCTATACTATTACCGTATTTAGTACGGTTCCAGAAAATTACAGAAGACCAAGATAATGTGTTATTCATTAAAACCTCTGTACATTGACGAACGTTGAAGTAAAGTGTCCTTTACTCAATATACTTTTCCTCTTGTGTTTAAATCGCCATGTGGTCTGGGGTTACAAGAAGTGGCTAAGAAATCCTCTCGAAAGTTCATTTAGGAGACTTCTCATAACCATAGTGATTTTTTTTAAATTTCATATTTTCTTACATTCAAGTGTGAGCTTGATTAGTTTCTGTTCAAGTATGAACTCTATGAACACACAGGTTCTATCCAAAGCGTCAGTTTCATCTCATTTGTGACTCATCAAAAGGATAGTTCTCAATTTGGAACTTGAGACATATAATTGAAGAAACTGATATATCAACAACAATAACGACAAACGATAGACAGAAAAAACGTCTTAATAATCCAGATGAACATGACTGGAACATTCAGATTTGTTTTTCATGATTTTAACTGAATAGCGTAAATCCTAAAGCTGATATGAAGGATTTGAATTCATTAGTTCAGAGGAAAACGCAATAAAACATACTTGATTCCAATTTGTATTTAATATTAGCAACACTGATGAATCCAAAATAGATCAATATGAGCATTCTTGATTCACTGTTAACCACTATTCATCTATAACTATAAATCTATATTATCATTATTATGATTTAAAGCATCATTTTCTACTATATTCCTTTCTAATTTTCAAATATATAGTTCTTTCAAAACCACAAAATTTTACTGCAACAACCCAATCTCCACATGAAATCTTACTTCAATGGAACCCACCAAATGATGTTGATCCAAATACACGTCCATTAGAATATTATGAATTAGATTATCAATCAATATTAGATATCAAAAAGTCACCTGATCATTTATCATGGTTCAATAGACAAACTATTAATAGTGTTGATAAAAGTAAAACAATCGACTCAAAACGTAAACACCAACAACAACAAACATCCATTATACATATTAGACCAGATGTAACAAGTTATTTATTGAATAATTTAGAACCGGATACACATTATTTATTTAATCTAATTGCTGTCTCTAAAACTGGACATGGTGTCAAAGCATCAACAGTTGCACGAACTAATCAATTTAGTAAGTGACAATTTAACTTTGCAAATAGTTGATTATTAAGTAGTGACTAATTTTATGTATGTCAATTACTTCTTAAATATCATTCGAATTCTGTCAATTAAGTTGTAGTTTGGTCATAATAGTTTAAGTTACATAATGTCTCATATCCTATATTTCTGGAGCTGGATGATTAGAGGTTAATCATCACCTGACTAGTTAAGTGTAAACATCTCAGGCTGTGAAAGTTGACTATTCTAGTTCGACAGACATCATTTGTTCCGTCAAAATTGTGGGCATGCCGTGTTCGTGGATGCGCACTGCTGAGGAGTCCCATAATAGGAAGAAGCGGCTGTCCAGTGCTTCCAGGTTTTCAATGGTGGTCTAGCTTCAATTGACTCACGATTTCAATTTTTACGATGTGTTTATATATTTCCTAATCTACTGAAGATGATTTATCTCGAATCTTTAAAGTTCAAATTAATCAATGTCATTATTGTTAATTGTCTGTTGGATGTTCAAAGTTCAATGTTAATCAAGATGTTATCGATGAAAAAATTGAAATTTCATTAGTTGCATAATTAAAGAAGATACATTACTGTTCATGAAAACTGGATTTTTTCCCAACAGTTGAAAGTTATTTAGATAGAAGAAAAAAAAGGTTCTACTTGTCATGGGTATTTGCATTGGCTACCATCGATTTACACTGAACATTTAAAATAATGAAAAAAAGTGATAATGACTGATAGTCTACTAAGTTGGTAAGAGGTTATATGCAGCTGAATTAACAATATGATGATAATTAAGTCTAGAGATACAACATACGCTTGTTGTTTAGTGATAAAGATTTATTTTGATCGATCATTGTTGGAACTTCTTCTGTTAATATCAATCAATCACACTCAAGGTTAAAAGAACAATCGACTAGTCAATTGAGGAGAAATTCACATTCATCTTTTCTACTGGAAATTCATACTTTTCATGATGTTTGTCTAATAAGATGGTGAAAACTATTAATTTTCTTCACTGAAATAATAAAATGGTCTATTTTGCTGGTAATGTTCATTATTGAAGAATAAACAGTCTTAAAACGAGAGTAGTTGAAGTTAGACATAAACACCATCTGATGCTGACTCAGTGGTCTATCGGTTAAGTGCTCAGGCGCGAGACTAGTGGGTCCTTGGTTCTAGTCTCGCCAGGCGAGATCGTGGATGCGCACTGCTGAAGAGTCCCACAATAGGACAATACAGCCGTCCAGTGCTTCCAGGCTTTCCTTGGTGGTCTAGCTTCAATTAACACACGCTTTCATTTATATAAATTAATATTTCCTTGGTATTAAATACAATAAATGTACTCACTGATAACAATACATAGCGGTATTAAAAAAACTTCACAACTTTCTAATTGAATACTTCTCCATAGTAGCTATCAACACAATGAATCTAGACAGTTAGACGAGATCAGATAAAGGTTAAATGAACTATTTAGATTTAAAATATATCATTTCTTTACATCATCCTATAATATTTATATTTATGACAAGTTCTACGTTATCTATGACTGTCTGACTGATGTACTCAGAATCTTTATTAAGATAAAATTTACAGTTTTCTAAAATCTGTATGAATTAAATTGAAACTATATTTTATGGACTAACTTCGAACGACGTCAAACTGACCTTCAGAATGTCTATCAGCCCACTAGAATTAAATGAGTGTTATTATAAACTAGTGTAATAAATTCAAATTATGAATAACAGTTGATGGTTAAGGTTAGAAATTAGATTTAGGATTTTCATCACGAAATGCCAAAAGTTTATTTACCCAAATGGATGAATGAATTTCTTGGAGTTCAAAACCACGTCTGTTGTGAGATAGGAGCTCACTGAAGACAATTGGTGAATGGTTGCTCAACTTCGTGGATCAGTTGAAGTTAGACATTAACACCGTTGGATGCCAGCTCAGTGGTCTATCGGTTAAGGGCTTCGGCTCGAGACTGGTAGATCCTGGGTTCGAATCTCGCTCGCGAGAGCAGGTTCGTGGATGCGCACTGCTGAGGAGTCCCATAGTAGGACGAAACGGCCGTCCAGTGTTTCCAGGTTTTCCATGGTGGTCTAGCTTCAATTGACTCACGCTTTCAACAATGATAAATACTAAATCTCCACAAAACCCCTTCTATAAAAAAAAAATCCAAGACCTATTACCTTAAATTTAATTTGTTCATCTGTAAATTATAATCTTATCAATTAATCAATAAAATTCTTATTGAATAGTCTTTGGAAGAAGAAAAAAGAATTCTTATATACATACAATTATATACATAATATATAATTCATTCATCTTATTATTAAATTTTTATGCATATCAATATATATACATATATATTTCTTATTTCATTAATATTAAACAGTTCCATCGGCGCCAAAAAATCTTACTGTACAAGCTATAAGTGCCACCCAATTACAAGTAAAATGGAAACGCCCAATAATCAGTGACCAAATATCCGATATTTTATCATCTACTCGTATTGCTTATTATGATTTAACCTGGCGTCAAACTGATAGTGAAGTAGGTAAAGTGTGTGTGTGTATGTGTATGTGTATCATAGATATGCTTATCTTTATTTGTTTTCAGTATTGAAGAAGACTATTTTTCTTGATTGTATGAATATATTTTTTGAGTAATATTGAAAGGAATACTAAGATAATGAGAATGAAATGTAGCATTTCAATTACCGTCTTCTAATATATATCTCTATATATATATATATATATGAGAGAGAGAGAGTATTACGTCCAAAGGTTCTGAAATGTAACGATTAGACTATTTAATCTTATAGTTCCATATAACAAGTTTCTTCTTTGTAAAGGAAACTGAAATTTATCAATGTCTATCAGTTAATTTAAAGATAATCTAGTGTCATTTCATTTTAATAATTGAATTCATGAATTAATTAAATCTAGACTACCATGGAAAACCTGGAAGAACAGGATAGCTGTATCGTTCTAGTTAGAAAAAGACTTTATTGTTTTGATTATATGTTTTGTCAAAAATAATAATAATTGCGTATCAATTCATCAAGAGCATCAGTTGAATAAATTCAATATGATTTGTTACCAAGTACTAACCAATATCATGCTTACTTGTCTAGTCTTCTTTATAATGTTAATTGATTTCTATTAAACAAGATGCTTTGTGATCAAAATGTAGTAATGCAATATGGTGTATTGTATGATGTATTATGCGATGATATTAATTGGTTGAATCTATTTCATCGGAAGCCATATATGTCATAATGACTTTCTGCTAATCAACACTTGGAACGAATAAACTAATTATGGTCTTAAGGGAAATACTTCATACAGACGACTTCAGTAATAATACGTACTCTAAAAGGTATCTACAAATTTCATGACAATTTCATTAAGGAGGATGATTAGACTGAAATAATAATACACTTTTGTGCTAATTACATCATTGTTCACTGATATATATTTTTTCACAGGATATAGCTAAGTCGAAAGTATATGCATGATCAGTTGACTTTAAACAACTAAATTGTTATGAATCTGATTTTGAGATGGTGAAGATTTGTAACTCAGGTGGATGATTTTGATAGAGTTTTGTTCTCTGAGCTGGATGATTTGGTCGTAGAGCATTCATCGTCCTTCTGAACGAAATCATCAGCACAAACTTCGTGTAGAAGTGAAGTGTTTGAATTTCTCCACATGTGGTCCACAGCTTGGTTTGTATCAAACCAATGGGAGATGCAACCAAAACAAGGAAATAAACAATGACAGATTTAAGATGAACAAGAGCCAATCAACATCGAGGTTTGCAGGACAAGCTGTGAATCACTTATATAGAAATTCAAATACTTCAATTCTACTTAAAGTTTGTACTGATGATGTCGTTCAGAAGGACGATGAAAGCTTCCCGACCAATCCATCAAGCTCAGAGAAAAAAACTCTATGAAAATGCAACTGATTTCTTTAACATGCTCCAGTAAATGAAATTTGCAGGCGAGCAAGTCAAGCGTTATTTAACTCAGTGTTCAATGTCAGATACTCCTGATGGCGTTCCATTTATATTCATTTCTTTAAAAAATCTTCATTTAATTAAGGTCATCGATCACCATCATGGTGTTTCTATTACTTGAGTAAGTTAAGATTTGTGCAAATTACGGTAATAATCGATTAATTCTGATATTTACGCAATAAATACATTATTTCATCAAAGTATACATTATACCTGACAAGGTTTATTCTTTCTTCCTACACCGTGTTCATTCTTATATACCATATACATATATAGGGTTTATGGTCACGAAATGATATTTCCTCCGGGAATCATCAACCTCCAGCATGGTTTAATCAATCATTACAATTATCATCATCATCGTCACCGTCGTCATCTGGAATATTTGAAACAAACACATTTGGCAGCTTACAAATACCAACTCATAATAAATGGAGTAGTGATGAGAATCATACAAACTTAACACAATCATGGTATAGTGCAAATATTACTGGTCTACAACCGTCCACTTATTATGTAATACATTTAAGAGCTGTCTCACAGTCAGGTGCAGGAGATACAGCTGTTTCTCTACCAGTGAAAACATGGAATGAACGTAAGCTAATCATTAAAAATAATATATTTTTAATGTCCCAATGAATAAAAAATTTAGACTTTCTGACGTTTCGTGACTCAATGTAAGCCACTTCCTCAGAGAAGATTGTTTTTGGTATTAAACATACATCTGTACATGTTCACATTTCATTAATTATCTATGCGATTACTATCTACCTATTTGTTTATTCATCTATCTATCTACATATCTATCTACCTACATACCTATCTATCTATTTATTTATTTATCTATCTACCTACTTGTCTACCTATCCGTCTATATATCTAATCTATCCATGGCACTTACATTTATTTAAGAACGATTCCTGAACCGTTTCTATTCGTAAAGGTCCATGAATTATGATGTGTTTTTCTTTTAACAATATATATTTTTCTTCAGTAAAGCATGTTTGTTTGGTGCCTTGAATTTTATGAATAACTGTCTCCACAATCATGTCCAGTAATCTAATCTAATAGATATCATAAATTACTGGTTAATTACTGATCTCAGTATATCCAGTTTAGAAGTCCTGCAATAATATAAAACTGTCATTCAGTGCTCCATTATTGTCATTTGGTAATCCAACTAAGAACAAATTGTCAGGAACATTCTATATGGATTATCTGATTCTGTTGTTTTAATGATCATTACTTCGTCTAAAAGCAAAACACAAATGCCAAAATGTTTACAAAGTTTCAAAGAGGATTTCTAAACAACTGTCTGTCAACCAACACCAAGATCAGAGTTTTTAATAGAAATGTCAAGACAGTTCTACTGTATGGGGCGGAGACGTGGAGAACTACGAAAGCCATCATCTAGGAGAAACAGGTGTTTATTAACAGTTGTCTATGCAGGATACTTCAGATCCGTTGGCCAGAAACTATCAGCAACATGCTAATGTGGGGGGGGGAACAAACCAGATCCCATCCAGTGGATGAAGAAATCAGGAGGAAGCGCTGGAAGTGGATAGGACACACATTAAGGAAATCACCCAACTACGTCACAAGACAATCCCTCCCATGGAATCCTGAAGGCCAAAGCAGAAAAGGAAGATGAAAGAACACATTACGCCGAGAAATGGAGACAAACATGAGAAGAATGAGCAAAAACTGGATAGAACTATAAAAGGGAGGCTCAGGACAGAGTGGGTTGGAAAATGCTTGTCGGTGGCCAATGCTCCATTGGGAGTAACAGGCGTAAGTAAGTAATTAAGTGTATACATTTACAAAAGAAATGGATCCCAAATACTTTTACATTCAACCTTTTATGACTAACGAAAATAAACGAGAGAAGATATACGAAACCAATAAGCTTCTTTACATAATAATAATAACAATAATCATCATCGAAATCATTACAATCGGCACCTCCGAATCAGATATTTAATGAATATAATAAAAATACACAATTTGGACTTGAGTTTTATTACACTAAAACTAAAGTAACTCTCTGTTCTATGAGTTTTTTTAATAGAAATTCTATACAATATCTTGTATTTTCTTTCAAAAATGAAAAAAAAAATGCTGAAAAACTAATGTGTAACATAATTCAACTGATGTTACCATTAGTAACGTGCGCTAATAAGAAAAAACATGATACAAAAATACAGCAAACAAATAACCATATAAGTAAATGCACAATACACCTTTACCATGAAATATGTGTACGGGTGTGTTTGCGTGTGTGTGTGTGCAGATGCATTAAAGTATCAGTGTCATGTCAAAGAGTACATATATATATATATATATATATATATGTACAGTTTTTATCCTGAATGTCAACCGGAATTTCCTGAATAGAACATTTTCACACCAATGACATTAAGATTACTAACATTACTGTTCACAGAAAACACTAATAGTATCCGTAGTATTAGTGGAATCAGTAAAATTAAATGTTACCATTATTGGTGTATTACATATCTGTTTTTATATTTGTGAAATTCACAAAGAGATTAGTTAAAGTAGTAACTATATATGTGAGTTTGTGTGTGTGTGTGTTTGTGCGTGAATGGATGGATAGCGGGAAATGTTCACAAAATGTTGTCGTTTTAAATAAAGTTACTTTATTGCCAGGTTTCTTTTTTGCGTTTACTTTGAAATTAACTTTATTATAAATGGTGCTCAATTGAAAATGTATTAAAGACTATCATATTTGGGTTATTCTTAGATCCAAATCTCTATCTAGTAAATAGTGTCCTATCAGATGCCAATTAGTAATTCATCAATTTTATCCAATGAAAACCCAGCTCTATTAATTAAGATACACAATATAATTTATAAAAGTTCAACTCTTTATTTTCAACTATAGTTCTGAATAAGATATTTGAATGTGATCAGAATGGGTTTAGTGGAGATTTCAGTATTTTCATAGTTGAAATCATGAGTCAATTGAAGTTAGATCAACAGGGAAAACCTGGAAGCACTGGATGGCCGTTTCGACCTACTATGGGACTCCTCAGCAGTGCGCATCCACGAGCCTGCTCTCGCGAGATTCGAACCCAGGACATACCAGTCTCGAGCCGAAGCCCTTAACCGATAAACCACTGAGCTGGCTGGCATCCAACGGTGTTAATGTCTAACTTCAACCAATCCACGAAGTTTGAATGTATGAAGTATGCACCGTTGAGTAGTTTCATAACCAGAATGAAATTATCATCAATCTCTCTTGTAAACCATAGAATTTGTTTAACACTAAATGTTCAGATAGTGGTCATAAATCAATGATCTATCAGTTGTAAATATCTCAGTCATATAAGTGGTCAGTATCAGACTGAATATCTTTTAGTGATCCGGTATCTAATTCTAGTTAGATTGTATAATTGATTTTTATGGAAACAGACATATCCCCAATCCTCGTATATAATTATTGACTTAACTCCAGTTAGTGAATAACGGAATCAAATAAGTCAAATACGAGAATAGATTTTTGAATACGTATATTTCGTACAATTGTTAATAGGAAAGCGAAGCAAAACGAAACTACGCTCAATGGAGAAGGTGAATGAGCCAACTCTATTTAACCAAGCGTGAAACGATGTTTATAGTCAGATGAAATGGAGTTACAGACATATGATAAGATAAGTGCACACAGAAACGCTCATATAAAAGCAGTCAAGGTTGATAAGCGAGCAATTGACAAGGTCAAAATATGACTCAAGTTAAATGACTAAAATGGTCTGTCCGAAAGCTAGAATAAACTGTGTGTGCTTGCACAACACTACAATTACACTAGTAACTGCCTGGAGTAGGAAAGTGAATAACTTGGATTTGAATCTCACAGAGAGCATCAGAACTCATGATTTCATGTGAGCACTGCTGATGCGAAGAAACTATGATTCAGCTCTTTCGTCAATGACCTTTAATCATCTTACGTAGATATATATATATATATATATATATATATATATATATTTCATTGAGACCATAAAGTGATCTTAGTTAGCCAACCATTGAAAATCCGTCCTAGTATGAGAGCCCTCACCAGTACGCATTCACGAACGAGTATAGATTGTGTGGTGGATACTCATAAGAGACAATGGAAAACGATAGAGCAATGTCATAGATTGATCGAAGTTATACGTTATTACCATTGGATCTGGCTCAGTGGTCTGAAGGTTAGGGGTTCACACGGGACCTGGAGTCCCGTGTTCGATTCCCGCCAGAAGGGTCATGAATGAGCTCTATTGAGAAGTCCCATACTAGGATGGATCGGCCGTTTGGTGTTTTCAGGTATTCAATGGCTGTGTAACTTGGATCGGTTCGTCATTCAATGAAATTCACCAATCTCTACAACCTTTTACTGACGTAAACACATATGACTTAAATCTGTGAAGAAAATATTGTTGTAACTTTTGTAATTTTTGTTGTCTTTTCGATTAATTTTTGATTTTTAGCTCCATCAGCTCCACAAAAATTACGTTTAATCAGTCAAATAATTCCACAGTCCAGTATAAATTCACCACCACAAATTTTACTACGTATCACATGGGAACCAGTTTGGTATGATGGTTATAAAGTAGGTGAAATGTCTACATTGTATAGAATCAGATGGCGTTTAATTGGTGGTGAGAGGAATTTCAAAGGAGCAGAACAATCTCTTGTAATACGTACATTACGTTCAACGGATAAATATTCTAGTGAATCGACATTATATTGGCCTATCATTGAAAAACAACAAAAACACCAACAAATCGAACCACAACAGCACCAACATCAATTCATAGAATATGGTGCTCGTAATCCATTTCAATCAGAATCACTTATTCCAACCAAATTTTTACATGGTGAAGTGAATTTAACTGAAACTAGTTGGAATCCTGCTTCTGGTATATTTCGTAAGTGAAACAGTAGTGAATTGTACAAAATGATAATTTTTCTAGTATTGTCTATTTTCAATATAGGGTTATTAGTATAGAGTTGAATTATAGACGAGACTAAAATTTATGAACGAATCAATCAGATTCGAGATAGCCTATCTTAGGTTTTGGCGCGAAATTCATTCATCAATATGGCTAATTATAATTTTAGCATTGTAGCTGGTGTCAGTTTGTAACGAAAACCCGAACTCTAATTCCTAACCCTAACGTCTAACGGTTGATCCTAATCCTAATACCTTAAACTAATTCACAAACTTCGTATAATCGTATTCAGTAAGTGGACATTCTCAAGATTACGTAAAGATTGCTCAGAGGTCTTATATAACTTTCTCCGTATTTTTGTTGTATAGGAAATTAATACTTGAATTAATGTATTTTTATATTCTCCTAGTTGTAAGCTTTTTTGTGATACATAAGTTACTGTTGTTGTATGTTGTAGCTGTCTTGAATTACCGTTACCGCCATTACTTACTTACTTACTTACTTACTAACTTACTTATGCCTTCTACCCCTCGTTGAGAAGCAAAGGCCTCTCACCAGCACTCTCCATCCAACTCTGTCCTGTGTAATTTTTTCCAGTTCTTTCCAGTTGCTACTCATCCTTTCCATGTCTACTTCCTGCTCTCAACACAGTGTGTTCTTTGGCATTTCTCTATCCCTTTTTTTCAGGATTACTAGTTAGCACTTGCCTAATAATGTAGTATGATGATTTCTTTGTGTGTGTCCTATGCACTTCCAACGTCTTTTCCTCACTTCCTCTTTAATTGGAAGCTGGTCTGTTCTCTCCCACAGTAGGCTGTTGCTGATGGCATCCAACCAACGGACATTGATTATCTTGCATAGAGAATTGTTAAAAGAATACTTGTTCGGTTTCGATGATGGTTGTGGTAGTTCTCCAAGTTTCAGCTCGGTATAGTAGGACTATCTTAAGGTTTGTATTGAAGATTTTGACTTTGAAATTGGTCGACAGTTGTTTTGAGTTCCATTTGTTCTTCAACTGTAAAAATGCTGCCCTTGTAGTCCTTTTCCACTTATGTTGCAGTCATGCTGATATTGCAATCTCTTAATTATGTTAATTTGTGGTCAAGATTTTGCCCTATATTATTGTTTGAGTGATGTATACCATCTGAACTGTATAGCAAGGAGGTATCTAATTGTTGCGTCATATGCTGACTATCGGGTAAGTAATTGTTAGTCTAACTCCATTCTAGATCATATGTTTGGTGTTCTTGACTATTATCTAACCATCATTGTTTCATTGATATTAAGCAAATAGTCTAGGCGAATTAGTCAATACTGAGACTAGTTAAAAAAAAATTTGTTGTATTACCGTCCAATCACACCTAGAAGAAATCTGTTTGCTCTTTATTCTTTTTATTCTTTTTATGATGTAAACACTAACAGTATTGATCCACGTATTAAAAAAAGGTATATAGTTCATCAAAGATATCACTAGAAATTACCAAATTTCTGTTATTTCAATAGTCTTACTTTCAAATCTACTAAAAGGGTTAGAATCTCGCAAGGCGGGATCGTGGATGCGCACTGCTGAGGAGTCCAACAATAGGACGAAACGGCTGTCCAGTGCTTCCAGGTTTCCATGGTGGTCTAGCTTCAATTGATTCATGATTTCAACTATTTAGTGACTGTTATATAAATCGCAATATCAATAGTGTCATAATAGTGTTATAAATAATGTACAGTGTAAGGTTAAATATTTAATAAGAGCCAATAAACTATCTTATTTGAAATAGGTCTTGTATTTATAGATTGTATTAGTCACATTAATCACCGCTAAGGTACCTGCTGATAATCAGTGATATTGAAACTACTAAGAGATTCTTTAACAATTAATACCAATGACCCTACTAAGGATCGGACACAGGACTTTCAAATTACCATTTATTAAAAGTTAAGTATTAGGGCTATAGAAAACTGATGGCTTACACGTATCTCTTCTGTACACAAAGTCCACTTCTCTCAGACTAGATGATTTCAAAAGATACATTAAATGGAGCCATGTGATCATAGTTCACAAGATGTTCCGCGATGGATCAGTTAATTATTTTTGATGTACACCAATCGAAAATCATAAAAGATAATGTTCAATGATAAATTTAGAAAGCCCTCACATTGTATGGGCAATCTAATCTGTCCCACTAAAACACATAAGCTTATAACTACATCATTCTTTCTTAATGAAATACTTTTTTTATTTGCTATTACTTTGTCAGTACTTGGTATGAGTTATGAATTTCGTGTTGCTGTAATCACAACATTACAAATTGGTTATGAAACTATAGAAACAGTGTCGTTTGAAGGAACAGGTAAGATATTTTTGCAGGTTAACTTTTAATGTTAATCTTTCAAATTCTAATCAATTAATGAGTTTAATTTATAGTTGAAATTATAATCTTATGAAAGATCTAACAGCGAAACTTTTATGCCTTTCAGAAAGTTTTTGATCTTCTGGACAAGAAATTAGTACCCATAGCAACACATTTTTCACACCAGTTGGTTCAAGATATTGCATAATAACAAGATTCACTTGATAATTTCTGTTGTTTTAGTTTTTCGATTTGTCATTAGGATAAAAAAAAACACGTACATATAAATGAGACGTAATTGTATTTAACAGTTTCTGATATTATGGAGAGTTACAGGTACGAATTCAATAGTTCGCGGTTTGTGTCGTTGGACTGGTCATACTGAAACAAAAGTTTTATGCTATACTATAGATGTACCTACCGAATGATCAATATTACAATTTACAGTGATTAAGTAAAGTGCTATATCGATTGCTGCGTGTGTGCTTGCCCAGTTGTTATATCGATTGAGTATGTGCCCAGTTTAATAAATGAACGTGATAACACTGCCTATTGGAGAGCAGTGAATTTATTGATCGCCCAATGATACACAAAAGCTGTATTAACAGTCTTGAGTACTTATCAGTCCTGCTTTCTGCCTAGCCCAGCCAGTTAAGTCCAGAACACCAATAACAGCCTCTGCAATATGAATCATTATTCTCAAACATATCTGGTTTATATACCAAACAAACTGACCACATCGTACCATGAAATAGAAAACAACATTTGTACAAGATTTGGACAAATGTGGCTGTGAGTAGGGGAACAGTAATTAATGGACTAAGGATAACTCAAGAATGGTAAATCGTATAATAATAGTCTATAGGTCAAAATAAAGCTCATAATAAGAGGGACACGAATATGAATAGTCTAGTTACTTAACGATTATACAATAGGAAATATATATATCATATTGGTTAATAAATAGTTCTCAAAGTTACCATTCATAAATCTCCATGGGATATAACAGAAAATAAGATCACTGAATTTATAGTCGGCATTATGTTATCTGAGTATTTGTTCTCGAGTACTGACTATATTCTGTCGATTGAATTATGATATGTTCATTTTATGATAAATGAATAGTGATTAGAACAGACTTGTTTGTTATCGGATTATGGTTTAAAGATAATTTACAGAGAATCCTTTAAATTACTTGGACTTTATGATAATTAACACACGTTTATAAGCAGAGATGGATGGTAACTAGCAGTGGAGTCTAGGACGCGCAGTTTGTCCTGTTTGGAACTCATCAGATAGATATACCTGCATCCCAGACTTATTGTTGATTCTTGGCCTCGAACTTAGTATCGTTCGCTTCCTACGCCATCGCGTTATCTACTTAGCTACTGATTCCAGATAGCCAGTGACTCATTCAATAGGGTGGAGTTTTAATTCATTTTATATTGTTTGTTTGAATCTTTCCTGTGATGTTTAGTACTGTAATTGATCAGTCTCTTATTGACATATGTGCATTCAGTACGGATTGTTTCGATGTCCCCCATTAACAGAGATGAATTTAGGAAACTGATCAATTTCAGTTCTAAACGTCGATAGGAAGATTTAAACAATCAACATAAAAATGAATTGAAGGTACATCTTTACTCACGAGTACAAACTATTTGGCATAATTTGACTTATTCTATGAAACAAAAAAATTATTAAGGCAGAATGAAAAGTGATCAAAAGACAGCCACTTTTACCAGTCATAACGAGAAAGGTGTTTAGTTTCATATTGAATGTTGTTTTGATTGATAGCTTAAACCCATCCTAAATGGACAGTGTATAAAGAATAGGATATTACTAAGCAAATAATTTAGGTTGAATGGCCTGTAGGATTCAGACCTAAATCTTTAAATCTCATTCTGAGTACTGAAACACACAATTACTAACCAATACGTGACAAATATTTTTTATCTAGTATTTTGTATTGTCAGAATCCTATAGGTAAATATATAATATGATCCTAGTGGCTCGAAATCACGTCCAGTATGTTTTGATTTTCAGTGTCTGGGAGTAGCCAGAATGAATCTATGGATCTAAGTTTCATGTCAGTTGGGACTATTGATTAGAAATCACATGTAGTAGATTTGAATCAGATTCACACTATTTCTTAGTCTGAGACGCTAACACTGGGTTATTATGACAGTGGTTGGCATACTGTAGGACTGAGATATTTACATCATTTAACCACTGAATAATGGTTTGTCTTGTCCTTACTGATGATTGAGCTCAATATCCATAGTTTCCTACTGACTAATTCCAGTCACTTAACATCACCAAAACATACTCTCAGCGAGTTAAGACTTAATTATATTAATATTTCTTTTAAAATAAATTCAATTCATATTTTTCTGCTTTCAATCAAGCACCAACAAATATACCAACTTCAATACAAGTCAGTTATACATTAGATCAAATAATACTATCATGGAATCCACCTGATTGGGATCATCGGCATGGTATATTTGAATCGTATGAAATTAAATGTTATCGTAGTAAACCATCTATGAATGTCAGTCATGTTGATGTCGATGAAAAAATGAATAATCAGTTGAAATCTTACGAAGATCAATATTTCAATGTAACCTTATTAAATAGTCGTGTACAATGGCCAATTTCAGCGCCTAATGATTTATTAAATATTATACCATGGCCAAGTGGTCAAATTCGTTTAAATTATCCTAATGATTTTAATTATAAACATGGTGAGATTGATTCTCGACTAAACAATAACGATAATACTGTGAGATATGATAATAGTAATAATAAAAATAATATTTATGCATGTGTTATTCGTGCAGTCAATGTGTATGGATTTGGGCCATGGTCAACAGAGAAGATAATTTTACCAAAGAAACCATGTAAGTCTAAATCGCTTAATCGCACTCTCTCTCTCTCATCTTGTTTTTAATAGTCTTGTTAAATAGTTTATAGTTCAGTGGAATCTTTTTGCGATAATTAGTATGCTTCAGATATCGTTCATCTCGATAACTGTTATTAGATAACTCTCCATTGTGCATAAATTTCAATCGATAATGCAAAGCGTTGGCAATAGTTTATTAACATACAGCGCGGACTACAAAACCATAAGTACACAAAGTGAATATGATTAGTAATGGGAATGAGATCGAATGCCAGAGGATACCATATAGTGTATAATGGCGAATAAATAAGTGGATGAATTTTATGTAACGAACAACATTCAAAAATCAATATATTTTATGTTGAGAATATAAAGATATAAACCGAAATTTAACCATTATAATGAAGGAATAAAGCCGAAAGACTGAACAAAAATGCCGGTTGCAAGACCGTGTAAAGGTGGTGGGGTTGGTAATTGGGTCAGGAACCTCATCTTTAAGAAAACAACCTTGCTAGAAAAAACATTAGCCGAATTATTTCAGACTTTATAAAACGTATATAACATTGACTTAGTATTGTTTGTTTGGATCTTCCCATCGATGTGTTAGGACTGCAACTGGTCAGTCTCTAATTGGCATATGTGCATACTGTGCGTATTGCCTCGATATACTTTAATTCACAAGCATGGTAAGCAGAGATGGATAGTGGCTAGCAGTGGAATCCAGGACGCGCGTTTCGTCCTATTTGGGACTCGTCAGCTGGATGTACCTGCATCTCAGAGTTGATGTTCACTCTGGGACTCGAACCCAGTACCCTCGCTTCAAACGCCATCACGTTATCCACTCAGCTACTGAGTCCTGATAGCCACTTGCTTGTTCGATGGGGTGAAGTTTGAATTCACTTAGTATTGTTTGTTTGGATCTTCCCACATTGTTAAACTTATGCATTATTAGTAGATGCTAGTTCACAATGCACTATACTACTTATCAATCTCAAAGTAGTTCCAAGCATATTCATTAAGGTGTGTTATTTTTGACCTAATTTTAGTAGTTGAGATCATGAATTAATTGAAGCTAGAACACCATGGAAAACCTGGAAGCACTGAACGCCCGTTCCGTCCTATTGTGGGACTCCTCAGCAGTGCGCACCCACGATCCCGTAATCGCGAGATTCGAACCCAGTTACGAGCCAGAGCCCTTAACCAATAGACCACTGAGCCGGCAACCGACGATGTTAATGTCTAACTTCAACTGATCCACGAATTATGAGCGACACTTCACCAATTGCCTTCAGTGAGTTATTATCTCACAACAGACGTGGTTGAACTCCACTGGTCACTGCTTCCCATTGATTTCAACTTTGAAATATACTGAAATCTCCACAAATCCCCTTCTGATCAATGGAAAGATTCAAACGAAAACAATACTAAGTGAATTAAAACAATATTCACTTCTTTCTTTTTTTTTCTCTTTCTCCTTAGCTATCCCATCTTCCCCAGATAATCTTCGTGCAATCTTTCTTAACCAACATCAATTACGTATTAGTTGGTCATTACCAATTCATTTAATACAATCTATTTCATCTCATCTTATTACAAAATTAACAAAAAATGATATACATAAATTAATTATATCATTAGAAAATAATTATTTATATTTTGCTATATATATAAGTCCAATAATAAAAATTAATTGGAAACGTTATACAACAAAAGGTCCTACAACTGAATTAATTTTAGTAAGTTTAATAAATTTGAATCTTCTTTTTTTCTGGTTAGTGTTTTGTTTTTCGTGAGTTAGTTTTCTATGGGATTGCTATGGGTTGTTAATCATATACCCAATCCTCTTTCTTTCTCCGAGCTTGAGACCGGCAGTAATCCCAGAGGGGCTCCGGGCAGAGTAATTAAGTAAGTTTAATAAATAATTAGTGTAATATTAAAGATATTTTTATCAATCATAAGAAAAGATTATATGTGAATGAGTGAGTTGGTGAATGCTGGTCAGTGATCTATGCTTCATTGGGGGTAACAAGCATGAGTAAGTAAGTAATGTATGAATGGTTATTGATTGGAATGGAAATAATTCGATATATGAATCAGTCATAGCTTAAATAGTTGATCGAATTTCTAGTAATTAACATTTTCGTATACATGAACACCTCCCAGCATGGATAAACAAAGTAAGCAGCTCGATATTGGCCTATTTAATACTAAATGGTCATAGTGCCCGGATAAACCAATTTATAAGGTCAGTAATTTTTCCCAAAGCTTGTCAGGTTTAAAGTCCTTTAAAACGGCTGAAACAGTAGCTATCCGGATGAAGAAACCGGAGTTATGCATATAGAAGAATCATCTCCAACCACTCTTCCTCCCCTGGCCAATTACAAGGCCAATTAATCAATAGTAATCTTATCTATTGGATGACCTAATTTGACCTTTCGTAGTCAAATGTAATTGTCTCTCTTATCTTTGTATTATTATTATTATTGGTTAAACATCATTATTAATCTCTCAAATACATGATTCATTCCGCATTGATCTCTCCTTATTACGTCTTACTAATTTTTCACACAACTTAGTTTTCCACTCGATCGAATTGTAATTGCACTATCATATATCTCTCTCACCCTATCTGACCCATATTTATTCTGATCACAGATCACTTAACATATATGCAGATTCAAGTTAACATTCTATATGAGTCATATCAACATTAACAGTTTTATTCTACTTGGTTTGACAATCCTAAATTTACATGCTTTAAACGATGTACTTAACCCTTAACCTGGTCATTTTTTCTCATTATTAATTTGGATATATAATTGTAGAACCTGAAAAGAATTTATCAAAAAGAATATACTTCGTTCAAATATTAATCTTTTAATATGATAAGGATCTTTAAACGATTAAACAGTTATGTTGATGAGTGCTACTTACTTACTTACTAACTTACGCCTGTTACTCCCAATGGAGCATAGGCCGCCGACCAGCATATTTTTTCTGGTTAGCGTTTTTTTTAGCGAGTTGGTTTTCCACGGAATGGGGTCGCTAACCCTGGCTTGGGACCAGCAGTAACCTCCGGAGGAGCTACAGGCGGAGTTGGTGAGTGCTAAGCATTATGTAATTTAAGTCTTTAAATAGCTATCTACCAATTGCTTCCAGCTAACTAATCAAGCAATATTAAAAAGAAGAGACTATATACTGAGCATTGCTAACTGTTATATATTCAGAAAAAAATATTTTTTTCTACTTGGATCCAAGTGATTGAATAGACTCTTTTGTTTAATATGTCCTGAACTAATGGCCTTGTGTTTTCCAAAGACTCTGTAACTTTGATTAAGCTAATAACATGATTAGCAGATAACATAACATGGTCATAAGTAATGAATCTGAAGTCTTATATTCAAGTTGTTCAACAAAGTTCTTTTAATTTCAGTAGCTAATCAAAACATGAACACAACCAACTGGATAGAAATTCTATTACTCTTTATTCGGCATTAAATATATAACTATAAATCTTTAAAATCAGGAAGTCATAATTTATTCAGGACGTGTTCAGCGATAAAACAAACCGAGTATTAGGCTCATTATTGATTATCGATCATTTAGGGACAGTTTATTATCTGAAGCGCAAGTATACAGTTAGGAAGGAAGCAAAATACAATAGCCAATGTATGTTATTAACTACACAATAATATATATATATATAATAGTTCTATGTAGACTAGTCCTGAAGGTTCCACTCTTCCTAAATATTCTTTATTATGTAATACTAACACTAATGTGATATCCATATACACAATGGTATCACAAAACTAGATCAAGACTACTTTGGTTCTAAAAAAATTAAATGATAAAGATAAGAAACATCTGCCTGTTCAGTTGTCCATTAAGGATAATTTATTTGGCTTGTGTAGCTCTGCTATCGACAAGGAACTATCAGCTACTGTTGGGATGATCCTGAAAATTACTCGCAACAGAAATGGCAAGCTGAGGATACATTAATAAGCATTTTATCCTATCAGCGTTCACTAGAAGTTTTGCTATAAATATCACGCAAGTGACAAGTCACATGTAGAGGTTCTGATTGACTGATTACTACAGTGCTACTATGTTTAGTAGTATTCTAGAATTTTCAGTCAAATCCAAGGACTTTTAAAATACTATAAAAAACTCTATATTTTCTGTACATAAAAGAACCTTTGCATTAAAGTGCTTCCCGCATATTTGTGCCTTTTCTCTCATGTTCAAGTCACTGTGTAGTTCCAGATTATGGGGTACAAGAATAGCTTGGGATCCGAATATGGCGTTCAATCAACAAGACTTATGAGTTATTAAAAATTTTAGATGCGGAAAGTTGAAAAATTTCAAACCATCAGATTGGCTGAATTGTTTTGTTTACAAAAATTTGCTACTAATATTTTGTTTAAGTAGTGTACAGAAAATAAAAAAACATTATCACAACCCAAAAGATCATATTTGGAGCAATGATAACTGTATTGACTCATGATCTCAACTCCATAAATTACTGAAATTTCCACAAAACCCCTTCTGATAATGATCATGTGCTCACTAGTAACTGACTCCTTGAGGTATTTCCTGGAGTTCTAATGAGAAGCAGTAACCCGTGGAGTTCAACCAGGTCTGTTGTGAGATAACAACTCACTGATGACATTGGTGAATGGTTGCTCAATTTCGTGAATCAGTTGAAGTTAGACATTAACACCGTTGAATGCCAACTCAGTGGTCTATCGGTTAAGGGCTTCGGCTCGAAACTGATAGGTCCTGGGTTCGAATCCCGCGAGAGTGGGTTCGTGAAAGCGCACTTCTGAGGAGTCCCATAATAGGACGAAACGGCCATCCAGTGCTTCCAGGTTTTCGATGGTGGTCTAGCTTCAATTGACTCATGATCTCAACTCTATAAATAACTGTATTTCTTGAGATATACTTATCAGCTTTATTTTTGTTTTTCTCCCTTTCTTTAGAATGATTATGATGAAAAAATTAATTATCTAGTACGAATTAGTTCAGTGAGTATCAATGAACATGAAAGTAAATGGTCAGAACCAATTTCAACAGAACGAATTGAATCAATCAATTCTAATTTGGCTATTAAAGTTTATAATTCAAAATGTCGTTTATTTTACCGATCACAAACAGATTTATGGCAATTACAAGTAAAATGGGAAGTTCCTAAACAATTACAAACTGGATCATATTTTGATCAACTCTCTCATTATAGAGTTAGTTAGATTCTTAAATATTTTCATTATAATAATCATCATCACAAACTTGATTATTTGAAGTGTTTATTGATATTTGTTGGAAATCAGTATGTACCTGTTAGTTATTCCAATTGATCGATTCTTATCGATTAATGTGACATCATGATCACTATCCCTGGTGACTCGAAACCGTAGTACTAGTTTAGAATGTATGGAATATGGTTAGCAGTGGAATCTAGGACTCACAATTCATCCTTTTAGGATGTGTAGTTCTACTTGATGAGTAACAGATGAAAATCGGAAATAGCTAAGGAATAAAGACTACTTTAGTCAAATCATCACACACGTCAATGTTACGCACAGATTATCAGTAATCTAGAATAGTGTTTAGATAAACAGTCCAATATTTAAAAATAAATTGTCAGTCTGAAAAAAAAACCAGTCAGTCAACAACAAATGTCATGAGAACTGGATACGCAACGGTTTAATTGACTATTGAATCATATCAGCTAATTCAAAGGAGAAAATGATTTAAAGAAGTGAGGTTAAAACAGGGTAACAAAACAAGATGCAATTGAAATCCAAAAACGAGAAATATGGTACAAAGGGATAGTTTCGATCAAAGACTGTTGAGTCAGAAATTATATCTAACGGCCTCTCTCTCCTTCTCTTTCTCTCTCTCTCTCTATATATATATATATATAATGAGGGAGAAAGACGAGGCGTGAAGTAGAGAGGAAGAATGAATTAAATTACTTCACCGTGACTGATTTCGCACCATTATGATAATGACATAACAAATTTATCAAGTAAATTTTCATGTACTTTATCAAAAAGAGTTGTTTTCATTTAAATCACAAACTGTTCAAACTTAGAAAACCACTGAAAACGTGAAAGATCTGGACGACTGATTCATCCCAGTATGGGGCTCTTCAGAAGTACACATCCACGACCTCATACGGGAGAATCGAATCCAGGACATTCAGTCTCACAAATGAATATTTAATCTCTAGACTATTCAGCTTCACTATCTAATGCTTATAGGTTGTTTTTTTTTAACGGTTGCTTAACTTTGATCAGTCTATGATTTCAACCCCATACTCAAATTTGCTCTGTTTTCTAATAATTTTTTTTTAAAAAAAAATAGATTAATTATACAATGATTAAATCAACCATGAAATATACTACTCATATAATACCAATAGTAAATCGTGAATTATCATTAAACAAATTAGATTCATATAAAAATAAATTTATATTACAAAATTGGTTATATACATCAGAATCTGATTCAATTTATGGTATATCTATAAGACCAGTTTTTAAAGGGAACAAATTACAAACAGATATGGATACATATATTAAACAACCATATGGTATTCTTGAAAATAATTTATGTTATATACCAAAAAAGAGTAAGTTGTTTTCGATATAGTTTATAGTAAGTAAACGTAACAATTAGGATTTTGGTATATAATTCCCATTTAAACAACGAAGGGATCTCTCTCTTCGCTGAACTCCGTGTTTTAATTAGGATTTTATCTTATTTAGAACATGCTATAACTAAAGTTTAAATTCTTGCTATATAGAGTACTACTTTAGAACTCAAATGCCAGAACCCTCTAGATTTCAAGTTTGAAGACAGAAAACAAGTGAGAAGGAATGTTATTCCAAACAGTTATATATATATATATATGGTACGAAACTCTTAGCTGTTTGTAGATCTCAATATGAACGAAATCAATATTCCAATCATCTAATTCGCATACTGTGGTTTTTAACGTTAGTCCAATAGGAAAGCTACACGTCGAGATTTTGGAATGTTCTTCTAAAAAAATGGCTGAATGGAAGGTCTTTGGCTCTTTTTGAGCTTCTTAGAGCTAACATAAGTTCATTCGGGGGTCATGTTCACGGATCAAAAACCGACACTAGTTAGACAATCATTGAAAAACCAGGAAGTATTAGACATTTGTTTTGTTTCAGTATAGATCAACTGAACAGCATATAATCGTGACTTTAACAGGGATCAGACCTAATAACATCATGTATCAAAGTAAGCTCTCAACATTCAAGCCAATGAGTCAGCATCCAATGGTGTACACTTCAAAATCCAATCAACTTGAGATATTGCTTAATCATTTTTATTTTGTCATTGAACGTGTGACCTAGGTTTTTAGTAGAGTTCTACTTTCAGTCACTAAGTGACGAATTTGAATCCTGCTCTATTGAAATCAATTTGCTCAAACACGTATTATCACATTAGCCTTGACATTCCAAGTGTAGTTCATAGCCAAGAGCATGAAACTGTAACTGGTAGGTGAGTTCATAAAAAAGGAATATAATATGTCATGTGTGTAAACGAACTTTGAGAGTGGACCGATAAATTACATCGTTGATTTAGTCTAAACAAACCACACAAGAAAAAGTAATAAATATTTTCAAGTGATAGAGTTCACGGTGAAACCAAACAGGAGAGATGATTTCTTGTAGTTGCCATAATAATTAATATTACTAAGAAAATCATTTAAAATAAGAAAGATGGTTGTACAGTTGAGAATATACCGTAGAAGAAGGATTAGTAAGAAAACTGCATGAAAGAGAATAGAGCTTGGAAGTATTCCTAGTATTATTCAATATGATTTGATAAACATGCAGGGCTGAAGAATATCGAAATTAAAAAAACAAAACAGTTATCCAGTATAACTTCACTTGTTATTGTTTGTTTGAATCTTCCCATTGATGTTTAGGATTGCAACTGGTCAGTCTCTTATCGGCATATGTACATACTGTGCGTATTGCGTTGAAAGGTACTGTGTTCGAGTCTCAGAGTGAATGTCAACTCTGAGATGCAGGTACATCCAGCTGACGGGTCCCAAATAGGACGAAAGGCGCGTTCTGGATTCCCCTACTAATCACATGCATCTTTGCTTATAATAGTTATTCAGTATTTTATTAATTCTAGTGATTTCCCAGTAGCTTCTTAAATTCTTAAGTTGAAGTAAATGATTGGAAGCGAACTTATATTAAAAGTGTAAAAACAAAACAACTACGCTAACAAAGCAGCTGATAAACATGAATTCCAGGTATTTATAGGAATGTTATGTAAACGAAAACGGAGATGCAACAAGTGATACAAAGTATGGGAAGAATTTGGAAGTCGATAATCCTTGAAGTTGTTTCTTTTTTAAGTTTATGGAAAGAGTTTGATGGAGACTGGTTATTTTTGTAGGCTATATTATTCACAGAATAATCTCATTTTGAGCATCATTGAAATGCAACCAGCATTGGACAGCTGTGCATATTCACGATTCTGACCCAGAATGGAGTTCATGACCTTCGGATCTTCCAGGAAGTGTTTTAAAATTGAAACCAACTGATTTAGGATAAAGTGATAGGATTTCAACTTCAATGAAAGCTTCATTGAAATCATGAGCGAATCTAAGTTAGATCATCATTGAAAGCTTGAAAGGACTGAATAGCTGATTTATTCTAATATGAGACTCCTCAGTAGTGTGTCCAAATGCGGGAATCGATCATAGAACCTACGGTTTTGCACGCGTATACCTAGCCTTTAACCGGCATCTAACAGTGTCAACGTCTATTCTCAATCAATCCACTACACTTGACAGTCATCTTTCATTGTTTGAGATGAGTAACCGCCCCACATACGCTATAGTTTAGCTCCAAATACTTCAAAGTTTTCAATGATGTTCTAATTTAAATCGACTCATAATATCAATGAAATTCAATAATCCTCCACCCAATCCTTTACTAATACTTATTTGCATTTTTACATTGTAGATATGTTTCATGTCCCAGTACCTGTTATCCTATTAAATCCATTTATTGATAAAACAAATTATTTTCTAATTGGTATCAAACCTATCAAATGGATTCAAGCATCATCTACACCATCCTCATCTTCATCATCATCATCATCATCATCATGGATACGTCAAGATTTACCAATTACCTATGAATTAATAGCTTATAAATTACCAATATATAACAATAATATACAAACTATAGAACAATTAAAATTAGGACAATGGAATTCTAGTGAATTATTATCATTATTAATACATCATTCCATTAGTGATTCATTAATACAAATTGAATTAAGTCAATCTTTGAATGATACATCATTAAGATATGAGAAAAAATCTGAAAAGTTGTTAATTGGTAAAGCATTAGCAATTAATCAAGATTATGCATTATGTATGAAAGTTTGTTTACAAGTAAGTTGATCAAGTATTTGAATGAATGAATGAATGAAATCATTACTTACTTACTTACTTTCGCCTGTTACTCCCAATGGAGCATAGGCCGCCGACCAGCATTCTCCAACCCAATCTGTCATGGGCCTTCTTTTCTAGTTCTATCCAGTTCTTGTTCATTCTTCTCATGTCTATCTCTATTTCTCGGCGTAATGTGTTCTTTGGTATTCCTCTTCTCCTTTGACCTTCAGGATTCCATGTGGGGGCTTGTCTTGTGACACAATTGGGTGATTTCCTCAAAGTGTGCCCAATCCACTTCCAGCGCTTCTTCCTGATTTCTTCCTCCGCTGGAATCTGACTTGTTGTCTCCCACAGTGACTTGTTGCTGATAGTGTATGGCCATCGGATCCGAAGTATCTTTCGTAGACAACTGTTAATAAACACTTGTATCTTCTGGATGGTGGCTTTCGTAGTTCTCCACGTCTCCGCCCCATACAATAGAACTGTCTTGACATTTGTATTGAAAATTCTAACTTTGGTGTTGGTTGACAATTGTTTTGAGCTCCAGATGTTTTTCAGTTGTAAGTATGCTGCTCTTGCTTTGCCGATCCTCGCCCTCACATCTGCATCTGATCCACCGTGTTCATCAATGATGCTGCCCAGATACGTAAAGGTTTCCACTTCCTCCAAAGCTTCTCCGTCAAGTGTAATTTGATTGGTGCATTAGTTCAGATCAAATATTGATCTTTAATTAAGTTTGTAAGATCTCCTGGATCAAGTGACAAGATTCTATGAGAAGTATGATAGGAAATATTTTGGATGCGGGTATACTTCAGATATAGTCAGCACATCAGATGTGTTAGCCCCGTAAAAGGATCGAATAGTGTATAGGAGTGTCATAAACTAAGTATTGTATGTATCAATATAGTGGTCAATCATACTGTTCTATATACTGTCTAATCAGTATACTCATAATCCTGCATGGTGTGTATAATCCTCATGCCTTAAGTCAATAATACATGGTTAATACATGTTGGTATTGAAGTCCAGGACATGATTTTTGTCAAATTTCTGTAACTGAATTCACGTTTTCGTGTTCACTTTGAATTTAGTGCCTGTTATCTACCGTCTTTTATACTAGTGTGTTAATATTCATTTGACTACTGAGTAAAAATAGTCGATATAATATTTACTGTTAATAATATAAAAGTCTATATTTTACCGAACTCTGTTTCTTTATATAAGGAGTCTTATCAGTCTTGGTGAGCTAGCGCCTAATGAAACCTCTGCATGAATTCAAAAAGCTCATTTGTGGTTTGTCAACTTGGGTACATATGGTTCAAATGAGATATCGATCTATCAAGTAAAAAAAGAATTTAGTGAGCAGCAGTTTGCTCCATTCGATGGTTGTCAATGAGGAGTTGTATTTCACTCTTTATCATCTTATAGAACACGAGACCTGAAAACTCCTCACACTATCTATACATAATATTTGCTGCTGCTGTAGTGAATGAAGACTCAGGTACGATAAATCAGCTTATTGCTTAACGCAAAATTACACAGTGACTTTGTAAAATACGAAAATCATACATTAAGTACATCATTTGCATATCTTCATTGAGTTGTCCTTTACACACTTTATCATTCCTCTAACCTTTTTGTCATTCTGATTGTTCGCTGCCCTTCTTTTCTTTGTTTCAATCTTTTTCCGCTAAGAATTCCACTTCCAATTCCTGCTACATAAGGCTTATATCTATCCCAATAAGAAGCACACTACTCCTACTATTGATACCATTACTGCTCTTACTACTATGGAATTTGTCTTGGAATAATTTTATCTTACGTTGACAATGTGGTGCGAAAGCTTAAACAGATAAACATATTCTTCAGGTTCTTGTTTGCGTATATATAGACCTTGTAAGGATACTACTATATAGGCCGCTGCTATAAATTTACTGTATACTTCAAATAATAGGTAACAATAAGAACCATTACTCACATCCCAACTTATATAAGACTAGTCAGCTGAATATGTTTTCAACTCAGTGTTAATGTTTTCATTGTGACTAGGACCTAAGATTAATCCATTTTTGTATTGTTTGTTTGAATCTTCCCATTGATGTTTGGGACTACAAACGATCAATCACTTATTGGTTAACGAGTCCTAAATTGGTAGAAAAGCACATCCTAGAATCCACTGTTAGTCAGCAACATCTCTGCTGATATTAATCATCCCAAATGCTAGTCAACTTAAATAATCAAAAATTCAATTATTTTTATTATCTCCTATTTCAATGTTCAATACTATTTTTTTTCCAATTTTTCAGCCAAATAAACACTTCTACTCATTTAATATTATGGATAATAATGTAAAACATGAACCAGTTTGTTATGAATCAAAATGGATTCAACCAGTTTCAACAAATCGTCCATCTCCATTAATCGATTCATTGAATGATACAATCAATTCTCAATTAAATGACTACTATGATCCGGATGAGTTATTATGGTCTATTAATTCATTTGGATCACATAGTCCACCACCGTCAGATGATGCTACCGCTCAAGGACCTGGTAAGATGAAGTGTTGTCGGGATTCTATTGATCACGGGAAAATATGACAATTATTATAAAGGGTTTGAAATTAACTATACTATTTTTAGACGTTAGACTGTTGAAACTAGTTACCATGATCTATGTCCCTTGATAGTTAACAGTTATTAGCAGAGCGTACAAGAAATCTTGACAGAACTGATAGGATTTGTGTAACTCACAAATATTGCAAACAATATGAACAGAGTTTCAGATGGTTTTGTAATTATTAAGCAAATTATTTGAGCTAGCTTTATTTGGACCACTATAGAAAATATGGAACCACTGGACGGCCTTTTCGTTCTATTATGGGACACCGTGACCAGTGGAGTGCAATCCGTGTCGTGTGACACAAGTATCTACCTGAGACAAAAGATGAAGGGTTGTGTAAGATCATGGATCGATTGAAAGTAGATATTGACACCGCTGGACGCCGGTTCAGTAGTCAAGAGGCTGTGTTTGCCCTCGAGTCCCACGTACGGAATCGTAGATGCACTCTTCTGAGGAGTCTCATACTAGAACGAAACGGCTGTCTAGTACTTCCAGGTTTTCAGCGGTGGTCTAGCTTACATCGACTCGTGAATTAAACTATTAGGATAGAGATAAATTTAGGCGTAACCCTTGAATATTTTTGAATATAAGGTAATATATTATAGTAAAAGTGAAATATGATTAGTCACTGATTTTCGACAAACAGAAATTTAGCCTACCGACTACTCAACATGTGAATTTCTTTCGTCTTATTGATTTCTACACCGGACTCACTGCGCGTGACTTCTTGTATTTCTGTTGAATAAAGTATTATCTAGTCTTTATTGTGGTTTTCCATCCTGGGTAGTGAATCCTGGTCTTAATTCAACGTGAGTGGTCCTATTATCGCATTACCGTATTATTGTTGCATATAGTTAAAAAAAAGAAAAAATTTTAAATTATCCGTTTTATCAAACACCATTGATCCTTTCAATTGTGGCCACTTCAAACACAATATAATAATAATGAGTCCTAATTCGATAATCCATCGTACCTAAGAGAGAAAAAATGTTTCGAACCATTTGCAATATCGTAGCCTCCTAATTCCTGTGATTACTGTAACTTTGAGTAAATTGTAATTTCATCGTGGTACCTTCGTCTCCCGAATTCAGTGAATGATTTCTAATAGAAATATTCATAGTGTTTAGACATCTGAAATGTATATCTTTCGGAATATCTTCCAAAAAAGGAGTGTAAACGTCCACACACAACTTTCTTAACAAACCCATTTTTTGAACATTCCGATAAATTCTTTTATTCACTTTAACTTATCATGAGAACAAATCTGGTTTGTCGCTGGTTGGGTCATCAAATGGTCTGACTTATTGAACGTAATCGTTTGACTGTGGGAAAAGTACTGAATCTGTGTAGTTTTCTTCATGTTTCAATCTTAAAAATGAATCTCTATGAATCATTCATAATCATTATCATTTCCCATGTATAACTAAATATACGTTACATATTGATTGAAAAACTGAGAGTGTTGGACAGCTATTTCACAGTAGTATAAGACTAGTTAGTAAGAAAAGATGTTCCTGGGATTTTCACTGCCCATAAACACCCATATTAAATATATACCACAGAGTTGGGACTCATACAGATAGCAACCACTTAGTACTTCTATGAATCAAATCGGTTTGCAACAGAAACTGCAAATAAAACATGCTCAAAAGTACAGTAACAAAATAAAAATAACTTAAGTGTCTTTATTTTGTAGTTTTAAATCAATCAATTAATCTGTTTTATTTTAAACTTGCAATATATGAAATCTATTGCTTGATAGAGTTAAGTTGTTCTCCTTGATCCAAGATGGGAAATCAAAAGCATATCAGTTTTATGAGTTCACTTGTATTCTTTATTTAATTCACTTTTATTCATGTTATGGATTCTAAATGATCAGTCCCTTTTAGCATTTGTGCATCCTTAGCAGATTGTCTAAATACTGTTATTAAGTCATGAGGATTTCAATCAGATCTGTGTAATAAATAACCAAGGGATTCAAGACGCATAATGTGTAATATCATCGGGAAGACTAAAACAACCAATACAAATCAAATAAAACCCATCAACATCTATTTGAACTCAATAGCTAAATAAAGAAAGCATTAGACATTTGTAGGACAAAAAGTGCTTAACTCAAGTCCTAGTGTAAACAAAATCTAACAAGTTCCAAATAAAATGAAACAAGCATCATACATTCCAATGTTAGCCATTATGCAACTTTTTTATGGTTAGCGTTTTCTTTATCAAGTTACGAGATAGGGTCGCTAACCCCATACACAACCCTCCTCCTTTATCGAGCTTGTGACTGGCAGTAGACTCCGAAGGGGTTACAGGTAGAGTTATTATTCAATTTAACTTAAACTTATTTCCTATCATAACTTTTACAAATTCTAATCTTCTACTCTAAAAAAATTTATTTGTTTTAGGTCGAGTAACTAATATGGAACTATCAAATATACATAAAAATCATCAATTAAATAATGATATACTAATAATCAATAAAAATCAGCAATTATCCCAAAATATCCCAAAATCATTAGATAAACAATTATCAATAACATCTAATGTAACAAATCAATCAAAGATCACTATATTATCCATTGGTATTACCATAATTATATTAGTTCTATTACTTGGATTAATATGTTTCTTATTAATTATATATAAAAGAAAACGTTTAACTGAAATCAATAAATATAAATTTAGTAATAACAATAATACTACTAATAATTTTAATAGTAGTAAAAATAATAAATCATCAATTCCATTAAAATGGAATAATTATTCTAATATAAATTATTATATTTTACGTTGTTTAACATTAAATAAATATAAAACAAAACAAAAATTATATAATTTAAATGATATAATACATCATAGTCCACCACCAGGTAGTAATTCAATTTCAATTAATTTACAATCAACATTTACATCATATCCAATTGACTTGGTATCAACAACGATAACAACAACAACACCGCCATCACCACCACAACCAATGGAAACAACAACAACAACAAGATTATATGAACTTACCGGTTATACAAATCCTATAATAAATACTATTACTAATAATAATTTATTATATTCACAATCTAATGATGAAATAAGAAATTTTACTAATACAATACATAATGAGATGAATCCAAACTATTTATCGGATTCACCTAATACAACTTTATATATAAATGATCATTATAAAAAATCAAAATTAAATCGTGTTGGATCAATTTCGCTAAGTTATCATCATACATATCAATTGAATTCTCCAACATTATCATCATCAAATGTAATTTATGGATCAAACTGTATGAAATCTGATCAAATGGATCTAAATATTAATAATACTAATTCTACTACTACTAATAATAATGGAATTGGTTTGTTGGGTAGTTTAAAATCTGTTAGTACAATGGGATCAAAAAATGTACAATCTTTAAATGGAATAGATGATGATAATTTATTATCACCAATTAGTAATGGACGTTGTCGAAATCTGTTGAACTCTATTCCTAGTAAGTTTGAATATTATAATATAATTCACCTCATTACACAAGCAAGTGGCGATCAGGACTCAGTAGCTCAGTGGATAACGTGTTGATGTTTGAAGCAAAAGGTACTGGGTTTGAGTCCCAGAGTGAATACCAACTAAGAGATGAAGGTACATCCAGCTGACGAGTCCGAAATAGGACGACACGCACGTCCTGGATTCTACTATTAGCCACTGTCCATCTTTGCATATATTTATATATAATTGTTAATTATATTCAATTTATTTGTATACAATCAAAAAATATGTTTTTATCATGGACTAATGTTATTTGAGTAACTGATGAACATTATTCAATCCCAATTTCCTACTTTATGAAAAGTAGGTAGTCATAACTTCACACAGGATTCAATTTAATCGTCTCAAGTCCCATAGCAACTACAGGAATCTTTCGCCTTCAACTCAAAATCCCATAGTTGATATTGTTGATGTCAAATGATTTTTCAAATATCACTTTCTTCATCTGATTGTTTTGAGGAATTTCTGGCACAATTTTGAGTTATACATGAAATACCAAGTGAAAACTGTTATATTTAGAACTTTAGGTTCATGCTATGCCGTTTACTACTAGACTATTTGAACGATAGAACCCGCGACGTTGCAAGAGAGAAGACAGAAGACTAGTAAGTAGGAATGTTATTCCTAACACAGTGTCCAATATAGTACGAAAATCTCATGTATTTATAGTTTTTGACTGAAAGTAGATCATCATTTCGGACAGCCAATAGGCACATAGGGGATCCTTCTTATTGATCCAGTAGGGAATCTACACGTTGACACTGTAGAACATTCCTCTAGCGATAATTGAATGCAATGTCTTCTGATCTTTCTGGGCTTCTTGAGGCTTCCTTGAGTTTGCCAACGAGCCATCCATATAAAAACAAAAGACTTGTCTACAAAATGGTATTAATATTAGGTGTCTCTATACCAACTATGAATTGATGGTAATGACGAAGAAATTCAACACTTGCTTCTGATCGGTTTAAATTCTTAATACCAAGATCAAAATCTTTATAAATAAAACACTGATGAACTATTTCAATTTGATAACATGAGCTCGAACTTTAATAGATCAAACTTATATGTCTTTTAATGTTTATACATTTATGTATATTAGACAGACCACAAATATGTGGACCAATTCAAGTGGCTAATTTAATAGAACATGTACAAAGTTTAAAAGCTGACAATGGACGTTTAATGGCAGCTGAATTCGAATCAATCGATCCAGGTGGTCCATTCACATGGGAACATTCAAATCGACCAGCGAATAGAAGTAAAAATCGTTATGCCAATGTTATAGCTTATGATCATTCACGTGTTGTCCTACAATTGACTGGAAATAATGATCCTGATTCTGATTATATCAATGCAAATTATTTGGATGGTTATTGTAAACAAAATGCATATATTGCAACTCAAGTAAGTCACATTGATAGTTAACTGCTTTACAAACGTTGTTTTAATAATATACATCACTTGAAAGTACTTTTAGTATGGGGTAGAGGAGATAATTGAATTTCCTTGAAATCATGAACCGATCTAACTTAGACCATCACTGAAAACCTGAAAGAAGTAGACGGCCGTTCCGTCTCAGAATAGGACTGCTCCAAAAAAAGCTCATCCACGATCCTGTAGTATTCCAAAATTACTAAAAAAATAAATACAATAACTTAACATTATTAATACTTTATGATGAGATTGATAAGTTATTACTTCATGTGAAGCATTATTCATTTAGAACTAAGGTTCGTATGAACCGAAAAGTAGTAACATTAAACAATATTTAGCTATAAGAATACAATTTATTAAAAGATACAATTAGAAGGAGGGTTTCGTGGAGTTATATATAGGATAAATCATGCGCCAATCGAATCTAGATAGGTCCTGGGCTCTAAACTCGCGTAGCGAAATCGTGGATGCACACTGCCGAGGAGTTCCACAATAGGACATTAGTGCTTCCAGGTTTTCCATTGTGGTCTAGCTTTAATTGACTCATCATTTCAACTATATAAAAAGACATAAGTTATTGACATCATTATGTCTATTTATGGTCACTACTTTCAACTACTACCAATAATAATAGTGTGTAGATTAAAAGAAAAGTAACCCGCCTAAAATTTAGATTGTTTATAGGAAAACATTTAAAGCTTATTTGGGTCTTATCTTTTGAATATTTGTACAATCTAATCGGCATCGATTTATCTATGAAACAGTGAAATGATAATTTGAATGGTGATATTTGACAGTCAATATGAACAAACTGTTAATCCAAGTAGATTAGTGAATGGTCGGGCTCTTCCAAACAGAATATATGCTGTCTTATTGTCATATAAAAGTAAAGTATGCAAACATAAGTTATTGTTAAAAAACAAATAAGTTACCATCATGAGGTCAACATTTAAGTTGTATAGTTGGTTAAGTGAAGCTTTAGGGAGAATGTGAACTCGCTATTGAATAAGACAGGAGATCGGTTGCCTTTTTTTTAATTGTTATTCTAGTTTTTGAATTTTCAATGTAGAAATTAAACTTCTTTTGACATATATCCACAGGGACCATTACCTCACACAATTACTGATTTTTGGCGTATGGTATGGGAACAACATTCTGGTATGATTGTATCAATGACACGTCTTGAAGAGAAAGCTCGTGTGAAATGTGAACAATATTGGCCAGGCAATACAAATGGTATCAATGGTAGTAGTAGTAGTAATAATATGAAAAGTGACAATAATTGTGTAATAACATCATGTAGACCAAGTCCTAGTATTACATCACGAATAAATTCTACCTCGTCTAATAAAAAGTTGAATGATTTCAAAATGAAATTGTATGATAAATCAATTCTACCTCCACCGATTAATTTTCGAACGTCTGTTAATTTGAAAGAATCCAATGAGGAACAACAATTCAATGAATTCCATTGTGATAATAATAATAATAATGTGATTAGTGATGACTTAATATTTACAAATGGTCTTTCACATTTATCTCAAAGTAGGTCAATATTTTAAAATATTAATTATGTTTAATGTATTTTCGAATTAAATGTATCCGTGACGATAATACTATGGGATTTGAATCGACAACTATATCTCTGTGCTACTGTGGTATGGCATCTGGAACTGATGTACGTACGTACGAAGTTCTACTTTATGACTGACTGACTGACTGACTGATGAAGTTAATATAGAACAAATGAAATGTAGCTAGCAATGTAATCTATGACTCTTGTTTTGTCCTATTGAAAACTTGTCAGTTGGATATACATGTTTCCTAGAGTTGATGTTCACTTTGAGACTTAAACTCAGTACCATTCACTTTAAACGCTATTTTGTTATCTAATTAACTACTGAGTTCAAATAGCCATTGATTTGTGGGACGACTTAGATTTTAATCCCACTGAAGTTTAGGACTTCAATCGATCAGTCTCTCTTGGAATATGTTGATCTTGTGCGAATTGTCTCGACACCACTATTAAAACACAAGTAATATAAACAGAAATGAATGATATTCGGAATCTGGAACGCTCGTTTTTTACTGTTTGTGACTTTTCAGATGAATGTACTTGTGTTCTAGAGTTGATAATCACCCCGGGATTCAAACTTAGTACACAATAATTTTTCTCAATACTCAGTACTGTATAGTGTAGATGTATGTTGAAAAAATCCCTTTGGGCGGCTAAAAAGTAAACACAGCTCTTCATATTCCGAATTCCGATCTGATGCTGTTAATAAATGGGATGGATGTATCTATACAGTATTGTTTATTACGCCATATGAAATAATTCCTGAAAATTGATTTCAAAACTCAAATTTAGTCATCCTCCCACAATAGGTTGATACTAAACACATTATGCAAAAATGACAGTTATCTAAAGCACTCAAGTGCCATTTATTGGAGACCGTAAAACTTAGTAGTATGGTCATTGTACTTACATACACCGGTTACCCCTCGACGAGGAGCACAGGCCACCGACCAGCACTTTTTATCCAACTCTGTTCTCAGGAATCCTATCCAGTTGTTTCCAGTTGCTAATCATCCTTTTTGTGTCTACTTCCGATTCTCGACACAGTGTGCTCTCTGGTCTTCCTCTTTTCATTTCCCTTCAGGATAACAAGTTACCAATTGTTTCGTGATGAAGTTCGATGATTTCCGTAATGTATGTCTTATCCACTTCCACTGTCTTTTCCAAACTTTTTAACTGGTAGCTGGTTTGTTCTCTTTCACAGTAAGTTGTTGCTGATGGCATCCGTCCAACAGATATTGAGAATATTGTGTAGATAATTGCTTATAAATACTTGTACCGTTTTGATAGTGGTTGTAGTAGTTCTCCAAGTTTCAGCTCTGTACAGTAAAACTTTCTTGAAGTTTGTATTAAAGATTTTGACTTTGATATTGATTGACAGCTGTTTTGAGTTCCATATGTTCTTCAACTGTAGAAATGTTATCCTCGATTCGCCATTCCTTGTCATTTTGACTTTAGTAAAATTTCCTTATGAATATTAACAATTTTACCGTGTTAAATGTGTCTATATTACGTAACATATTTATCATTTCAAATTATTACCTTTGCGTTTTATTGATTTAGGCACAATTAATTTTGGTGATATATCTGTCAGTTTATTGGATACAATGGAATTGGCTTATTACACTGTTCGTTCATTTGTTCTACAAAAAGCTGGGTAGGAGAAATGAAATTCGTCTATCTTTCTTCTTTCAAAATTAATTTTAATTATTTTTTTCTAATTATTAATTTATCAGTAGTTGTCGGTTAAGAAAAGTGGAGTTCAACTAGGTCTGTTGTGAGATAGTAACTCACTGAAGACAATGGTGGATGTGTCGTTCAGTTTTGTGGATCGGTTGAAGTTAGACATTGACATCGTTGAATGCCGGCTCAATAGCATGGAGGTTAAGCGCTCACGCACAAAGCTGATAGGTCCTGAGTTTGGATCTCTCAAGGTGGGATCGTGGTTGTGCACCGCCGAGGAGTCCCACAATAAGACGAAACGGCCGTCCAGTGCTTCCAGGTCTTCTATTGTGGTCTAGCTTCAATTGACTCATGATCTCAACTAATAAAATGCATAATTCTTAAACATGTATAGGATTGCTACAAACCAGCTAACTGGTGTTGATTTGTAGTCCGTCGAGTCATTATTATCATACTTTATAGTCGTGCTCCAAGTCTATGTATGACACATTCAATGGAATTAGAAAGATTGATATTTTTATGTAGAACTAAGTGTATTCAACAGTTACTTTCTACACATAAAAAACAGTATGTAGATTAACTAGTTGGAAATTAGATGTTATCTTTATTGACCCGAGATCTGACTCCAGATAGATCATTTGTTGCTTGTTATAGAAATATACATGTAGCTTGAGAACAATGGATAAATTAGTTTGTTTAGAATCCAGAATAACCCATCTAGACTTGACATAAGGCCAACCACTATAAATCTAGTTTGAAATCTAACAATTGACTGACTTCACAAATTAAAATTCAATAGAAACTGAAGTCGATTGATTAGTGATCATTCATCAACTATACACTTAAGCTTCTTTTTTCCATTATTCTATTCCCCAAGAATCCACTTTTATATAACACATCTTTATGGTAGGTAATAATTTTGTTCTCTTAAGAATTGAAATGATTCTATCAATAGAATTGATTCCAGTTAGTTGTTCATAGACATCCCATCTGCTTGATAATAATAATTCATTTGAATAGATAGTCTAAGTATTTGTTTGTGTTACATCTTATCTTAGAATATGTCATTTTGAATATTGACTAGTGATATAAATTGTCTGTTCTCAAAGAATGCTTATTATTAAAATCTATACAGATATATCCTAGTTCAAGTGTGTTTGATAAGCAACATTAAAGTTCATGTCAAGAGGTGTATTCATCATGGAAAGATAACTAATCTCATTGATCAATCAAATTGATGTGGTTTGATTTGCCTAGAAATAGATAAACACTGTAAACCATAACAATCATAATGTGCTTTCTAATGACTGATTATATGAGATAATTTTCGAAATTCTAGCGTGGACCTGTGTTTAGTAAAGCTCAGCATTGTCAGATATGTAGCAATTATTGCATAATGCAGTGAAATGATTGAAGCTACACACAAATCATAGGATACCGACTCAATAATCTAAAAGATTCATCATTCGCTTTTAAACTTGAAATCGCTAGGTTCAATCCTTTACTGGGTTATGGATGCGTACTCATGAGAAGTCCTATATTACGACGAAACCGAATATGAAAATCTAATAACTACTTATCCATTGTCTTAATATGTATATTTTTTCTATTCACATACTTTTATGAAATAGTTGATTCAAGTGTGTCATTTCATTTTATTCATCTAACTATAGAACAATAGAAACCAGAGAAGTACGTCAACTTCAATTTACAGCTTGGCCAGATCATGGTGTACCAAATCATCCTGCACCATTATTAATGTTTTTAAGACGTGTTCGAGCTGAATGCCCAGCAGATTCTGGTCCAATTATTGTACATTGTTCTGCAGGTGTTGGAAGAACAGGTAAAATTTAAAATAAAAATAGTAATGAATTCATTTTGTATTGGTTGTTTGAATCTTCCCATTAATGTTTAGCAAGGCAGTTAACCAGTCACTTATTGGCTTATGTTCATCCTGTGAGGATTGCCTCGGTATTGCCTTAAGTTACAAGCATTATAAACAAAGGTGGATGGTGGTTAGCAGCGGAGTCCAGGACGCGCGTTTCGTCCAACTTGGGACATACCACCTGAATGTACCTGCATTCCAGAGTTGATGTTCAAAATATGTATTTCAGTTTGTATAACTAAGGTTATTAGAACTATATGATATGTTTGCACAACACATTTCTTACAAACTAATAACTTGTTAAGACATTATTCTATACGAAAGATTATATGTTAACTAGACAAACTGAAAGATGAGAAAAGAAAAACGAAGATAATAAAGTACATAATGTGAAAAATAACATGAAAACCATGCTGATTAATATGTCAGTACTCACAGGAGTAAGTTAAGGGTAAGAATAAACCGGTTATGATTACATCAAGATGGTTTCAGTTTCCGTATAGCTAGGGCTTCAATAAACTTCAGTATACATCCTTGAACAATTTTGTACAACACTATGAAGACTGATGTGATATCAACCCTGTAACTTAATGTCAGAAGATATTTGTCTATCCTATGATTTCATCCGACCACTGAAGTTCTTTTTCTTGTGTATTCATTTAGGCATATATTTGTAGCATTAACTGATTGACCAGATACAAATTCGTTTATTTATCTTTAAACTACACTCTAAATGTGGGAAATAGTGGTAAAATCTAGGTGCTGAAACCGAAGTTAATAAAGCAAAGTTCGAACCCGCAACATGATAACTGTGAATCAAACGTAATAATCACTAAGTCATCAATAAATATCCGGGTTTTTATTAACTAATGAATTATCAAACATCAGAGAATCTTGAATGACGATTTCATCCTGGTTCATACACAGAGTTTACATCGGGTCAAACTCAGGAGAACTAGATTTTATTTGTGACAGTGGTATTTTTAAACTATTGTAATATTAAGCAGAGATGGATACTGGCTAGCAGTGGAATCCAGGACGCGCGTTTCGTCCTATTTGGGACTCGTCAGCTGGATGTACCTGCATCTCAGAGTTGGTGGCTATCAGGACTCAGTGGTCGAGTGGATAACGCGATGGCGTTTGAAGCGAAAGGTACTGGGTTCGAGTCCCAGAGTGAACATCAACTCTGAGATGCAGGTACATCCAGCTGACGAGTCCCAAATAAGACAAATCGCGCGTCAAACTGGATTCCACTGCTAGCCACTATCCATCTCTTCTTACCATGCTTGTGAATTAAGGTATATCGAGGCAATACGCACAGTATGCACATATGCCAATTAGAGACTGACCAGTTGCAGTCCTAACACATCGATGGGAAGATTCAAACAAACAATACTAAGTGTATTGTAATATTATCTACTTATTTGCATTCCCAACACTTATCATTTTATAATAAACAAATTCAATCACAGCCATCCTAGATTCCATTGCTGGCCACATTCCTTATATTCCATATAAACTTGTGTCTTAATGGTTATGTCCAGGCAATCCAAACGGGGTGCACATGAGACAACTATAAATGATCTGATTTCAGTTAAAATATCAACAAATAGATAAATCAAACCATTAGGAATTACTTGATACAGTAATGAATTGGCAATTGATTCCATTTAGCCGACTTGTCGTGAATTCGATCACTGAAATCATTTCTGGACGTTTATTAAATTAAATTAAATCTATTATTAATTAACTTCGGTATGTTATTTCTACTTCTAAATAGGTGCTTTCATACTACTTGATATATTGTTGGAACAAATGCGTCATGAAAAAGCTGTTGATGTTTTTAATACTGTTAGTCGATTACGTGCACAACGTAATTTTATGGTACAAACAGAAGATCAATATGCATTTATTTATGAAGCATTAGTTGAAGCAGCATCAAGTGGTAATACTGAAATACCAGTACATCAATTAACTACTCATTGGTTTCGTTTAACTGATTTAAATCGATTAAAATGTCAAGATCTGATGAATTCTGATCCATTGAGTATTGGATTAATGAAAACTTCAATGAATCATACAAGTAGCTCTAATATATCTACTGGGTTAGAACTGGAATTCTACCAGTTATTAATTCAATCAAATTTAACTAAATTAATTTCTTCTATTCCATCATCTATTGGATTATTATCACCAATTGATCCATTCTCTTTAAAAATGGATGAAAAAATCTATGGAAATATGAACTTGAATAGTAATAATACAAGTACTATTGGATGTATGAATATACCACAATTACCTAGATCAATTGTTGGAATGTCTACCAACAAATCGATTGCAGCTATGTTACCGGTGAGTAAAATTATTTCGAATTAATTTAGGATAATTTCAGTATAGTTAGATGCTTTTTTTTGGTTTCATTCAGTTCTCTGAGCTTTTGATGTGAGTTTGTTCTTTGAGCTGCATGGTTTGGTCGTGGAGCTTTTATTGTCCTTCTGAATGACATCATCAGCACAAACTATGGGTAGAAGTGAAGTGTTTGAATTTCTCCTCGTGTGATTCACAGCTTGTCCTGTGCACCTTGATGTTGATTGATTCTTATTGACCTTAAATCTGTCATTGTTTAGTTCTTTGTTTTGGTTGTATCTCCTATTGGTTTGATTTTTGCTCCTATATTTCTGCATAACTTTCTTGATTGGTTGATAAATTGAATTGATTTCAATGTGTTTGTTTGTGCTGATTATGTCGTTCAGAAGGACGATGAAAGCTCCACGACCAAACCATCCAGCTCAGAGAACAAACCCACATAAAAATAACCCACCTGATCTACAAATCTTATCCATCTTCTCAGTTCTCTGAGCAAAATGATTTGATTGATGAGCTTTGATTGTCTTATTGGACAAAAATATTATCTCCTATTTCATGTGGCAATGAAGTTTTTAGTTATTTTACAAGATTTTTAAAAAATCATTTTGTCACAGTGGCCTCAGTTGTGAATAGTTATGTTGGTAGGTTTCAGCGTCTTCAGTTACCTTCGTATTCAAGTTGATCATTTTATTCAGTTAACTTTCGGTTAGCTCACTATTTGGTCTTATTTGAATGTATTGATAGGTCGGGTCTAACTTAATACATCTCTCGAATCCTGATATATCTGAATCCTATGCTCTCATAAATCCATTGTGAATCCTGAAAATCCGACGAAACAGAAATTTGAAGTTCTCTCAGTTGAATTCACCTTCGTGTTTGTTAACACGCATTGATACCAGTAATACAATGACTTGTCATTGCGCTGATAGTTTGTGTTCATTAATAAGTAGGTGGAGAGGGTTTTCACTTTAAATTTTGTAGTGTTCGTATCAATTAGCATAATTTATTCTGAAAAGAATATCAAATTTATCTTCTTTCGCTGTTGTGTTTCTAGGTCTGCATAAAATAGTGCAGTGATTATGTTGGTTTATGAGTGACACTGACTCAAAGGGTATTTAAAGTCGTTGTGGTCATTTCTTAGAGATTTTTTACAAATGTCAGGATTACCCTGTCCGTAGTTTCCGAGATTGAGCTTGTGATTATGAGTTGAGTCGCCGGAAAATTTTTAATTCAGTTTGTACGGTAGACATATTTTTACAAAGAATAGATGCAAGTTGAGCATCTTCCATTTTTCGCGTGGTGAGGGTGCAGTATAGTGTTTTGTCTGTTTTGAATTGAGTTTGAATGTAACTCGTTTTGTGTGCTACTGTAAAATCAGAAAATATTTATTTAGGACCCGTGAAATAGATAAGATCACTTCCGAATGGAGATGGTGATGATCTTGTCCAGTTCGACAATAAAAGTTCCACAAATAAGCCACATAGCTCAGTGAACTTAAAATTACCAGAATTAAACAGTATCTCGTCAATTGAATATAGATCTTTTGTGCAAGACAAAGAACTGTAACTAAGAACAAGAATTAAACTTATGAATCATATCTTAACCTCAATGAATGTTAATTGACCTAGAAAACATATATTATACAATTGCCGATGTACAGTTTCTTAAAAGGTTTTGTTAGTTTCCCACATTTGTTACACCAATCAATCTTGAACATTTTCAGTATACGTTTGTAAAAACTGTTTAGTTCTAGTATGTGAATCTTCAACAGTAGGCATCCTTGACCACGCACTTGAGACTCTAACGCTCTCGCTCGAATTGTAAAACTATAGACCGATGAGCGATCATCCAAAAATGTTTAGCGTTCGTGTATGACCGAAGGTCCTGGGTTTAGGTCCCAATTGTGCGATCGCGGATGGGGACTGACGGGGAGTCTTATACTAAGACGAAACGATCGTTCAGTGCTTCCACGTTTTCAACGGTGATCTAACATCGATTGGTTCACGCTTTCAATGTAATTCAAATTTGAACACACTAGAATTCTACTTCTCAGTCTTTGTCCTAGTAACATGACTTGGACTGAATTCCTTTATTTATCTTTGGAATGGTGAAGGAAATTGATGATCTCTAATCTTTTGTAAACTTAAAGAATTATGGTAAACGGGATGAAACCTAGGTGGAATTGGGAATTCTTGTCAAGTACTTTTCATCAACTGTAATCGAAATAGATAAAATGCTGTGTCAACTCATTTACTTACTTGCTTACTTACTTACCCCTGTTCCCCTATATTGAGCATAGGTGCCTCCCTGAAATCCACGACTAACCTTGTCATGGGCTCCCTTTTTCATTTGGTTTCAAGTGTAATTTTTTCTTTTGATGTCAGTCTCCAATTCCTATAGCAATGTGTTTTTCGGTTTGTGTCTTCCTCTTTTTTCTTGATGTTTCCAAGTTAGGGCTTATCTCATGATACAGTTTGAAGATTCCCGTAATGAATGTCCAGCATCTTTTCTTAATTTTCTTTTTGTTAAAAGACTGGTTTGTTCACTGCCACAGTAAGTTGTTGCTGATGGTTTCCCGATAATGGCTAAGGAGTAGATTGCGTAGACAATAGTTTATAAATACCAGTTATATTCTTGATGATGTTTGTAGTCGTTCTCCAATTTTTGGCTACGTGCAATCGAACTTCCATAACATTTTGTACTGAAAATTTTTGACTTTGATGTTGGCTGACAGTTGTTTTGAGTCGATTCACTTAAATTAATGAATATACTATATTTTCATTGTTGAAATTTGATGTACATTAAAATAAATGTGAATATAACCCTAGATAATTGATAATTGAGGACAATCATTTTACTGCGCTTTTAGTAATACAAATACTGATAAATGATCGCTTATTGTTCTTTATTTTTCTTCTTCTTCATCACATTTTAGGTTAATTTATCGAAAAATCGTAGTCTCAGTATTATACCACATGATGCAAATCGTGTTGCGCTTCGTGCTGTTCGTGGTGTTGAAGGCTCTGATTATATCAATGCTAGTTATATTGATGGGTATAGATCACGTGCTGCATATATAGCAACACAAACACCAATGATGAATACTTTAGAAGATTTTTGGCGTATGATATGGGAGTCTGGATCGTGTCTCATTGTTAAATTAGATGGTACAATAACATTGAACGATTTGAAATTCATGGACTCTGTAAGTTTTCATGTTGTCTGTGCTTTTCTAGTTGCCTATAATGTCATTTTCAAATGAATGGTGTTTTAAGTACTTTCTATACAAAACTATTAAGAAAAAGGTTTAAAGTGTTTGAAAATCCGACTCACACGTCCTAGTCGTGCCTCATGGATCATGGGACTGTTTCCATGCACTAACTTGAGCGGTAATCGCCGGTGGTGGAGATCGGCCTAATCAACCACTCTACCAATACCCGAGAACAATTACAAACGCTACATAGTCATCGCATAACTATTAAGGGTTCAAAAGGGTGGTAAAAAATGAGTCTGACCAAATAAAAACAAAGACAAAAAAAGATGTGAGTGTTATGTAATGGTTCTGCGTAAGCAGTGCGGAAACAGCTATCCCGCTTCTGAGTTGTGCCATGCTTCGATGTAGCACTCTTCTCCAGAAGGGCCTACTAGGCTTCACCGTTCTATATTGCTAGAAGAGGCAATAAGAAATAAGGTTGGTGTTTGATTTGCAAAACACAAACTAGACAGGTAATAGTTCAAGATAGAATTAACGTCCATTTCAAATATGAAATAAAATTGTACAATTGTATATTGATATTAGATAATATGATCACAAAGTTATTTGTTACAGTGTACTTGTTTGAAATGAACAAAATCTATGGAATAATGCTTATCATTAATGGATTTGTGTACTTGAAACTCTGTGTGACACTAGATTAGTGAGTTTATGTATATTTATTGTATTGATTGACTTTGAAAACGACCCGGCATTCGAAGTCAATCGCTCAAACAGTCAGATGATTTCTTTATCCATATAAATAATTTGTTTATTTAAACACATAAATATTGTTACAGGGGGACACCTGATATATATGCACCACACAAATCCCATTTGATTTGTGTGATGGCTATGATACTGCCCAGTTGCCAAAACCTAAGCAGGTGGTTTTCTTGAGGGGCCAAACCAAGAGCCTCTGATCGAAAAGTCTGATCCACAAGGCTGTGGAGCATCGTGAGGAGATGCAGTCCGATGGTAGCCGGTGACCAACAATTGGTTCATACGCCATTTTTTCCTTCATGATGCTGGGGCCCATGTGCACCATTGGTTTGAAATTGTGGTTTCCCAACTTTCCCAGGTGGAGTCACCTTGTCCACCAACCCGGTTAAAGCGCCGGACATTCGCTTTCCATCCTCTCACTTTCGTAAACAACACTCCCGCCACGAGAAGGCAGTGGGTAGGACTTCCCTGCGAGTGGCTATATACGCGTGACCATGTGAGAGCATTTCGAGAGGGAGAGCTGACTCTCCCCACTCTCGGCTGTACCAGGGCATTTTGCACATTTAGTTTGCTCAATGAATATGACGGTTAATCTAGAAATCAATTTAGGAATGACTAAAATGAACAATTGAATTGAAAATCAGCTGTTCAAACATTTCCTATTCAGCGTAGAACCAAAAATGCTGTCGGTTTAATTTATTGTAAAACCATATCTTAGCTAAACTACTCAAATATCTAAATTTTAAATTATCATAAAAGAAGTGATCAAATAAACATGAAATGATCCAGTTATTAGTTCCATTTTACATTGGAAACCAAACAAGCATGAGTGAAACAAAAATTGTGATTTCTGTTGATAACTTGTTTAATCTTTCAAATACTTTCCAATTGATAGCCAACATATTGGCCAAATTTACAATCAGCACGTCATGGTTTCCTAGTAGTTGATCCAATTGCTACTTATACAATGCCAGCTTATATTATGCGTGAATTACGTTTAACTGATACACGTGATGGTTCAACACGAACTGTACGTCAATTTGATGCAAGTTCAACAGCTGATGCATTAATACATTTAGAAAGACAAATTTATTATTCTACATCTAATAAATCAGATTTTAAAGAGTTTATTGAATCATCTCAACCGATAACGGGATCGACAATAACAACAGCATCATCAACAATAACACCATTTCCACCTAATCCGTCGTCAATTTTAGAAACATCATTTACTGAAGATGATTTTCTTAGATTTAATCAAATACCAACACATATGATCTCAACATTTAGACAATGTTATCAACCAATATGTGAATCAATGCTTGAATTAATTAGTCAAGTACATAAAACCAAAGAACATTTTGGCATAGATGGACCAATCACTGTACATTGCAAGTATGTTTTATTCATTCTATTTCTCATTTTTTTCTGTGTAACATTCAAGTTAACATCCGTCACAGATTATCAAGAAGATACAATACAAAATCCTTTATCAGGTGAATCAAATAGTCCTTATGATCTTATACGGTCAAGTGTTTGTCATCTCGACAGAGTGTGTGCATTGACCACATTAGTACTTTTGAAATCCACAAGGAACACTTACACTTTAGACTCCTAAGTTGCTAGCTCATGGTTTACATTTCTAATTTCAGTCGATTCTCTATAGACCGTCATTATTGTACCTTATCTTTGGTGATACCTGTCTTACACGCAACATGGTTTCAATCCCATTGTGTCACGATTTATGACTAGCATTACATGTATTGAAAGAAGACATAATAGCATTGTTATCACATTACATTTTCGACGCTACAGAATTCTGAAAAAGAGAGATACATAACGTTACACTGCATGGGATGTAACACGGCCTTTAAATTCTTTTTATTCATAGTTTTGACTTTAAATCTGTGTTAGCTAACATAAATTAGCCAGTGTATTGTTAACCCTAACGAACGACTGAGTGTAACGGGAATTAATTCTGTGTTTTTGGTTACGCATAATGTAAGAACTGATGACTCGTGTAGTCATTCATGTCGACACCAAGACTGTGACTCATCAGTTATATCAAGTACTAATGTTGCTTTATTGAAAACTGACTAAAGTTGCATAGTAATATTGTGATGATCGCTACATCTGGGATGCTATGACTTTTACCTTAGTCAATTATCACGTGACAAAATCGTCAATCAAAATACCGACTTATATGACCTTGTTCTTGTGCTAAACCAATAACGGCTCAACCAACATTACCAGCATTGCATCAACTCTGACTCCTTATTACTCCATCGAGTTGGTAGCTTCTCGCTTGAATCAACCGGTTCAATTCAAAACACCAATATCAAACTCTGCTCTATGAATCATGTATTTCAGAAATACTTTGTTTATATACAAGCAAAGCAGACAGCATCATACCATAACAATTATACAGGATCAAGCCAAAAAGTAGCTGTGATTTTGAGAGTCTCTAACTAGTAGATTGAGAATAAGTTATGGATGGTCAAAGGAAAGCTTATGAATAATTACTATTGGGTAGTCTAATATCAGGACAATGTAGATGTTCAGAGCTTCTAGGTTTTCATTAGTTGACTAACTAGGTATGATTCATAATCTTATTCACATTAAACAATCTTCATGAATCCACATACTGATAATCATTACCATTTGTTTTCATTACATTTTTCTCTTTCTATTCAGTTTGGGTTCTGGAATAACCGGTGTCTTCTTAGCTATTTCCCTAGTACTTGAACGAATGCGTTTTGAAGGTGTAATTGATATGTTTCAAACTGTTAAACTATTAAGATGGCAACGACCAGGTTTAGTACAAACTGTTAGTCAATATGCATTTTGTTATGCTACAGCATTAGAATATCTTGAGTCTTTCGAACGATATACAACATAAATAGATTGAATAAAAACTATTCATCATTCACCTTGTTAATAAACATATGAATGGAATATTTTTTTTCCCTTTATATATAACAAATTGAAACGGTGTCAATATTAAATTTTTTTTTGTTTCTATGCTCATAATTGATTGCCAATTAGAATCAAAATGAAAATCTTTCTTAAATTCATATTGAATTTGTATGTGTTTTTTTTGTGTGTATAAATTGTATATCATTCTTCACTATTTTGCATTTATTCCCAATCCCCCCATCTCCTCCCCCCTTCCCACCTTACACCAAATCTCTTTTATTATGGTTCATTTCAATTGATTGACTTAGATCCCCCTTTGAACAATAAAACTGTATTTCATATTCACGTTTTGTTTATTTTTCTCTTTAAATAATCAATTAAAAAATAATTCATATTTCAATGGTTATTTTTGTACAATATTCAAAAGTATTTTGTTTTAATTTACCAATATTCATGAGAGGGGGGGGGTGGTAAAATAAAATTGTTCAAATAAAACAATAAAACACAATGATGTCTTCCCTAACACCCCATACACCACCCCATACCCACCTTCATGAACTTGTATTTATCATAAAATCATATAATCTATTCAATATTTAGAATTGTTTATTAAATTTTATAATTTTAATGTTTTATTTGCTTGTTTGAATTATGTTGTTCAATTTGTTATTTGATCCTACGATCTGACAAATCCAAACTTCTATAGCATACAACAAACTCATGAATACTTTATTGAGTTCTTCAAATGTTACATTGCTTAACAATATAGAAATGTACAGTATGGGTATTCATCTGATCTGGAATGAATAATTGAAAGGAACATTCTATTTGTAACTTATGCCTCTATAAGCATTCGTTGTTTAAGCATATTGTTAAATAAAGTGTATATTTAATCTATACAAATGTAAACACTGTCTCATTGATCTATGTAATGACATTAATTGAAAGTGTAACATGTTCAACATTCAATCTTTATTTGACATTGACACTTAATTGATACCATTTCAATCAACAGATCATTCAATCATGAATAATTCTTCTTTCTAGGTGATATTGTTAAAGATGTTCCTATGGAGAATATTGTCGAACCAAGTTGTTTAGGTATCATGACAAACTGGATAGTAACTTATGATTGAAAAGAAACAAGTCGAATTGATTGTAGTTTATTTCATTGTAGATTTCTATAGGAAATGTAAAGAGTTAACAAATGAATGGGGAATATATTCCCCCTAATGGTGTAAGATATTTGTATGTAATTAAATAAATCAATAAATCAATGATTGGTGATATGAAAGATGGTTGTTTCTTTTGTTTATCGGACTTGGTTTACAAATGAATATTCTTGTATTGTTCATACCACTGTATTTAATTTGAACTGACAATGTTATGCATTATGACTGCAAAAATGAAAGAAAAATAAAGAAACTTGTGTAAATAATACTGTTGATTGTAAGTAGTCATAGTTATTGAATGAATTGTATATGAGAGAATGATTGGTGATTAAGATAAATATCATTTGAATGTTATTACGTTGATGATATTTCAACTGAGTATTCATCAGTCATAGTTAGTATCTGTGCATCTTATGTGGGATCGCCTTGAAATGGTCATTATGACACACTTCTTAATAGAACAATGGAATATGAAATGTGTATTTCATTCCAATTGGTAATTGTCAGCTTGATTTACTTGCATCTCAGAGTTGATTTCCACTTGACGATACTCAATATCAACAATGTGATGATTAAAATCATTTAAAATCATGTTACAATCTATCCAATGATCACATTTCCACAAAACAAAATCATACTTATCAAAGTAAACAATATATCATAGTGTATCTCATGTTGTCAGTGATATAACTACCACTGATCAAGTGTTTACTTCGTCGATTCCATCAAAACAATTAATCAGACACAAATTGTTTAGTGAAATACACTGAGTCACTGAAAATCCAGTTAACTGCTAATAAATAAACTACTGACTTACTGAGAATTTCGTGTTCTTGGCTGTTCACATTTATTCATTAATCAGTTCATCAATGTAAAATAACATAGAGATATAATTCAAGACAATGTCACATTGAACATCAATTGTTTCGGACAACTATAAAGTTTGTATTGATGAAATTTTGATTGGTCTCTGCTCACTGAGAGGTTTGCAGTTTTCAAGCTCCATCTGTGGGTAGATGGGTCGTTCTCGGATACTAAGGAGCCTTATACTGAAAAGTAGCAGATTTCAAGTCCTATGTAATTTTCAACGGTTGCATAATTTACGACAATGTCATGTCAATCATGATTATTTTCTATTTTGTAAAGTTGATGTTGATGGTTAAAACTTTCATTGATCAATGTTTCATCAAGTAGTATACTCGATGTTTGCTGTGTTTGTTGTGTTTAAATAAACCTTTCAGCTAATGGTCGTTCAACGTATATTATAACATCAATACTAGAAACGTTTCATAGTTTCCGATTTAAAAAAAACCTCATTTCCAATGTACTTGACTGTATGACTGATGGGTGATCTGACGACATGGTGATAATATCCAGTAACACAAACTAAACTTAGTCGAGAGTCACTCAAACCTGAGAGTCAATCATTGAAAGTTGAGTTGTTTAGCTACCAGACATTAATTATGCCTGAGATCGTTGCAGTAAATAATTACCATTTTGAAATAAAATAAATGACTTACAATTCTTCTGTAATTTAAATGAAAGCAATAAGACAATGTTCAATGGATGAACTCGTTATGAATTTGTTTGAAAGTGAACTGTTCATGAAAAGAGTATGATCAAGCATTTGGATGCAGATACTTATCGAAAAGGGGATTTCTCAGATAATATTCATTTGTAAGATATTTAATGAAATGATGTTACTTATCAACATGTTTGGTTCAGTCATCACCAACTAGATATGCTGAATAACTAAAAATGATTTTATCAGTCGAATGGCTCTTATAAAGAGAACTAGACTAACAAAATGACTCGATCAATTCTCAACTTATTCAGTAAAAGTGTTATGTAGTAGCGAAGACATAAGTACGGGTAACTTGCGGGACCTACTGTTGGACTATCATTCTTATTGTATGACTATTCGGTAACTAGATTATCTAAGCTTTATTTTAACCTATTGATTATTACTATGTGATTTACTGTCCCTATGTTATGCTCAGTTTTATTGATTATTGTCTCCCACGCTTACAGCCTCATTTGGCTTGGTTTTGTACAAATATTATTTTCTATTTTATGGTATGATGTGGCCTGTCTGTCTGATATATAAACAAAGTATGCTTGAAATAAACGATTCGTATTGCCGAGGCTGCTATTGGTGTTTTGGACTCAAGTGGACGGGTTAGGAGGATAAGAGCCAATAAGGATGCTAGATTACTCATACTAATCGAACGTCATTGTCACAGTGTGAAGGTCGTAGAAGTTGTATTCTATTGGTGGACAATTTACGCGAATTACGTCCTTGTTAAATTCGTAAGGTCATAAGGAATCAGCGACGACCTTGATTAAGTCATAACAATTGGCTACCGCCTAGGTCAAAAACATAACAAATTGGCGACGGCTAGGTCAAGTCATAACAAAAAGAAATGATCACAATAATTAAATGTTCACTCTCCTTCATAGTTGGTAAATACAAATTACATTACAGTTACATATTCATCAAAATAAACAGAATGTTTACGAGACTTTCAAGTAGCATGGTTTTCTGTTTTATTAACGTGAAAGTGGAAATGATGACCGGAACCGTTTTCGGTGACATTTAAACCAAAAATATTTTAACTAATATTAATTAATATTATTATTATTTGGACAGATAAATATTTGCACAAAGAGGCACCGATTAAATATGTGCCACACAAGTCACTTGATTTGTGTGTGGATGTGATAATGACCGTATGCCCAGACTGAGACAGGCGGTTTTCTTAGGGTGCCGCACCCGAAGCTTTTAACCTAATGGTCTGATCAACGAGGCAGTGAAGCAGCATCAGGAGATGCAGTCCCATGGTAGACGGTGACCAACAATTGGTTTATACACCATTTGTTTCCTCAGGATCCCGGAGCCCATTTTCATAATTGATTTGGGATTTTGATTTTCCGATTCCCGTAGGTGGATCCTTCATACTTACCAACTCACTTAAAGCGCTGTACATTCGATTTTCATCCTCTCAGTTTACTAAACAACACCCCATTTGTTAAAAGGCGGTGAGTAGGAATCTCCTGACAGTGGCCCAGTACGCGTGGTCACGTCAAAGCATTTCGAGAGGGAAATCTGACCGTACCAGAGAACTTGAGGGATAATAATTAATTGCAATAGCTTGCAAAATTCTCCATAAAACATTCATAAATAAAATATGTTTTGAATGTACACTCAGTTCATTCTTATAAGTTGAAAGAAATCATACAATTTCTCAGTTCTTATCTAGATTTTAACAAGCATTTCAAATATTAATCAACTGATTTCATGATTGTTGACAGAGTCAACTTACAAAGGAAGTTACAATTGCATTAGTGATTAAAACCTAGTCGATTTGTATGATCTTAGAAAACATATCTAACTGTTGAATTATTACTTATCAAAAACAATATGATATGACTGATTTACCGTGCATTTTTGTTTTTAAGTCTTCTTGGCTATTAATGTGAAGAGGTTCAGGTTATTAGAATGATATAATCAACATGGTGTGCATCAGTAATAACGCAGTATTGATGGAATGCAGTACAATATTCTTGAATACAAAGTCAGTAAGTTAACTGGAAAGAACTGGGAAATGTTCGACTTATTGAATCAATGTTGAAACTGTTTATTCGCACTGATGAATCAGTCAAATAAACTTCTATGCGTCTTCTCTTAATTCAATAATAATTTTTCACTTCAATCACACTGAAAATTGAATCATATTTGAATCTGATATACATTTTCATTACACAACATACTTTCTACATCGTTTACCATATGGTGTGAACTTCTCAATGCAGAACCTATCCAGCTGCCTTACAATTATCTATACCACATTCAATAACAAATTACCAAAGACTAGAGAGTTTGTAACTGATACACTATTGATTCATAACTAAAGATTCATTTTTGTCGAATACAGTCGAATTGTGATTTGAAAAGACATTCATACAACGAGATTGATAACATTTATCTCACTTGTGTCATGACTGAATTTCACAGATCACAATGAGTGTAAATCGTGTAGCTCATGGATTGAAATTATTTTGACATTGTGAATATATAGAGCTGCACAGACACAATTCAAAATATACCACTGTTTAGTATTCTCTCCTTTCAAATGACATCAGTCAGTGATCAAAATTGAAGTGACCACAAATCGAATTACACAAATGGTAATATTCAGTGAAGTTTCAATACAGAATACATAACTTTCATTTGCAAACATATTACAAACAATAATACAGTAATCGTGTGAACTCACTGGACAAAGCTAAAATTCGTGTAGATTATTGATTTGGTATCAGAGAAGAATTAGTTGACGTGGATTATGCCTACAGATTTCTACATATATCTGGATTAAATGTCTATATTAGTCCGAAACTCCCTAATTGTCTGTTTAGTACACGAGTGACATGAAATGATCTGAAATCTCACCTGATTAGTATTACCAACATGTACAGGGCTTTGAATGTTTTATATGAGAATTAGTGAGAGTTTAAACTATCCCACTAATGGAATTCAAGTCTACCTTCAAATCAGTCCTTGATGGAATATGTACATCCTGTGTTATTCTCATTGATATATACATTGTATCAAAACCTTTTAGAGGAGATGGGTTTTGATCATTAATGGATTGCATGATGCTCACTTAGTAACATCTAGTACTCGTCACACTGGATGTACGCTCATTCAACGCTGATGTTCACAAGTAGAAACGAAACGAGCTTTCTGGATTCCACAATTAGACATGAATAATAAATTCCGACATGATTTCTACTCCAAAATACACAAGACGAGTTCTTAATATGAAAATGTAACTTGGTAAATTTCACATTCTCTCTTATAACTTGAAGACGATTGATTATTTTCCATGCAAACAAGCCCAGATGACTTCATATCTATTTACGTTTGAATATTTTGTCAAATAACGGTTAAACTGTTGCTCATCAGTTCAGTCGACTTTCAGTGGTAGATGACGAACTTGTGAACAAAAATCTGTTATTGATCTATCGTTCTTTCATGAAAGTGTTTCAAGATTATAGATAGTTCTTGTCAAAAGACATATGTCAACCTTTCGAATGAAATCCTTCATCCATTTATCAA